TTTAAGGTACGAGGGGGTACATTATAGCGCCTGTGTACCTCCCTTTTAGATATTTCTCCTGTCTGTACTTTTGCTACAGCTTCCACTAGTTGCTCATCCGACCAGCTGGCCCTTGGTCGAGCTGTATTTGTTCGTATGTACTTACGAGGCATGATCTATAGACAAAAATATAAAAAAAATTATTGTTACACTACATTATTATAACATTTTTTTCATTAAAAGCGTCAGAAGTGCAAAAGTCATGTGATAACGAATCCGACTTCTCTCCCGATAACAAAAGCGGCGACTATCCTTTTTGTGGGGATAGACGCCGCACCTGCCGTCTGTTAGAAGTGTTAACGAAATTAACCTAACTTTTACACAACAACCTCCATACTGAGCTACAGTGTACAGTCCTAACAAAACCCATGACGGCACAAGATACTACGCGTAAGATTTGTAATACACCTAAACCAAATCATGCTTAAAATATTCACCACGTATTGTGTACGGTTCTTAAAATCCCAGATATTTTGTCGACTATCGCTTCGATGGCACAAATCACAAACTACCGGTCGCTTTGCAGTATTCATCTACCACATATTGCGGCAACAGCTCCATCTCTCGAGCCTATGGGCAATTACAACCACCTGCGGCATCTCTCCCGCATTTACCCTAAACAGCAAACTTGCAAGGCTGAATGTTGATCTCGTAAGTTTATTCGCCTTGTCCGTCTTTTCTTGGTATAACTACTATTTGGCATAAATGTCATTTGAATACAGAGACTTTGCGCGCTGAAATTAGACAACATCTCAGAAAATCTTAACTGAAACGAGTGTGTGGGCTTCAAAGGGATACTACTTTAGAACTATCAAGTTTTCACGATTTTTTGAAATTTTGTTATAGAAATAATGACAAACGTGCAAAAAAAATAACCACATAGTGGTGTGCAGTTTTACCAAAATTTGACATTTCACGTACCAATTAAACATTGAAGATTCCTGGAGCCCAGGGTCTATTATAAAATAACAAATTGTTTACATTTGGGGCCAACTATTTGCTCACATAAAAATATTTCAGAAAAAGGAGCCCGATCGAATAAAACAAAAACTACCAATTAGTCTCATAGATGCTATAGTACAGTATAGTGCTGGTACTAATACACTTTAAACTATAAAGAAATCCTGTCAGAAAAGGCAGTTTATTTTAAAATGACAAAACTTAAGAAAATATTTTTGTACAAACGCCGAAATAACAACTTTGTAAGCATCAGTAATGACAGTAGTAAACGCTACAGCTTCAGACGATAAATGCTTGGCATAAAATGTGGTAATGGATGGTCACAATATTTTTATGTCGTAACAGCCAAGCCCTTTAAACTGTTTATGTTTTTGTGTTTTAACGCAGCAATTGTCGCCACATTTGAGACCCTAAATTGGAGGCAATCTTGAAGTATTTCATTGCTACCACTACCACTATGAGTGGAAGCAAAAAGCATACATGAGAACTTATGGGTCTGAATTATTCGTATTAATAAAACCATTGGTTAACGTATTTTACCTGAAGATAACCAACCTAATGCTATATTTCCGCATAAAGAAATATCCGAGTTAGAATGAGATACCGTAGCGCCATCTATAACATATGCTCAGCAATCTCAGAAGTCGACTTCAAGCCGAAAACAAGGGATGGGCCAGCGCCACCAAAGTGTATATAGTAAAGAGAGAGATCTATCATATTAGGGAGTTTTCGCATAACGCTTAGAGAAGCGACATAGGCGCAAACGCTATCCGGTAAAGCACATTACGTATACGTTATGTTAATCGGTTGTGGATACGTTTCGCAACAGCATGAGAAATAACGTGGACATAACCTTGAATTTGTGACCTTAAAGCTGTACCCTACAACGCTACAACCACAATACTTTGGCTGTAAAGGTGTCTTTGACGAAATGGATGTACAAGAACTTCTTGGTTTGGCCGCTACAGGGGCGGTGAACAAGGAGGAGTTGGAGACTGGAATTTTGCACAGTATTCTCAAAAGACAAGTTCCCCGTTCGTTTTACTACTTTCGCTGTACACCTAATACAAACTTTATGAATAAAACTGAAAACCACAGGCCTACCGATTTTTTCAAATTAAGAAAAATCGCCCATTAATTAAGTGTTCTCAAATTACGCTAGGCGGTAACGTAATTAGTGCCCGCTATCATGAAACCCACAACTGAGCATGCGTATCTGTCAAAATAACGTGCCTAGAAAATACCGCTGCACGTTAAGTGGCATGCGAAAACTAAGGGGGAATATAGCATCAAGCTGGCCAGCTTCAGGTGAAATACGCTGATCAAATGATAAAATTCATTAATATTCCCACCCAATTTGATCAGAGATGCCAAATATTTCGGTGGATATAAATGTCTAGAACTAACGAGAAAATTAATTTTATGTCTCAATTACGATGTTTACCTAGTGCCGAAAGTGTCAATTTGGTGCTGTTGTCATCTTTCAGAGTGAATATTCCCGTCATATTTTAATGAGCTGGAATGGTAGAGATTATTTTAGAGTAAACTGTTATTATTTTAGAGCTCTCAAATACATGTAGTTTGAATTTTTAAATGATCAATCCAAATAGTAAAACGACGGTGTTTTAATAGTAATACCAATTCATAAAATACGTAGAGTTTCAGTCATATCACTAGCGGTAAGCTAAGAATATTAGGATAGTTTAAACTGAAGAGAAGAATAACCTGAAATGACGTATGCAATGACATCACGCATATAAAGTGACTACGAGTATATTATTACGGTGTCGTCAGTGAATATAGCATACTGAGATTTTAGACACCTAAGACAAATATTTGTTTGTTTCGAGATCATTTTCAAATCAAAGGCTAGAATTGCGTCAAAAGTAAAAGGTTGATAATCATTAGGAGACTTGCTTAGAAAAATACGTCATTGCTAACCGACAAACTGGTCCACAATATATCTAAATATCATATTCTAAATATCTAATTTGAGCTACCTCGAAAAAGTAGGCACAAAGCAATAGATGTCAAGCATATCTATTTTATACTGCAAAATATTTTTTATGACATTTTTGGTAAGTATAATAATGCCTATATATTTGTATAGTTTTTATCAGTATTATTTATACAGCTAATTTTAAAACTGTCTTCTAATTACAACTAAAATATTTTCCGATATTTTCATGAAAAAATGTAATTTGCGTATATGTTTCCATATCTACTTTGAGAAATGAAAAGGGTTATATTCTAGTAGAACCCAAAGTATGACGCATATCATTTTTTAAAAATGACTGCTTTTCAGCATTTTTCATTTCATTGAATCATCCTCAAAGTGGAAATGGAAATGGAGACCGTTTCAAGTAATATTCTAGTAATACTAATTTTCTTCCATGAACAAAATCAAACCAAACTTGATATGTATGAAAAACTTGTAAATATTTGTAAATACTTGTAATTATATGTTCTTAGACTTTTTGACTGACTATTGTAAGATTTTATAAATCTATGTATATTATTTTTGTAAGATTAATACAACTGTTTATAAATAAGTGCTCAAAATTGCACCTTGCTGTATTACATGTTGATGATAAAGTGTATAAAAAATAGTCTGTTCAATTTCTCACTGTATATTCTAATTGTCAATTGAATTGAACGCGAAGACGTAAGTGCAAAATGTTTGCCTTTCATGTTAGACGAATGCCAATAATGCCTGTAATTTTGTCGTTGCTGCTTGTTATAAAATATGTAATGCCCATGTTGCTACTTCTTTTGTTAACTTTGTCTTCAAAAAATAGTGGACGGTCGTAGAGAAAACCCGTAAACGATATGTGACAAAAGATGAATCTAAATTCCGATAATTGTACCAGATTACACCCATTCAAACCGAACAATACGTAGTGATTTCCAAATATAAAGAATGAACCTTTTATAAAAATACATTTAGGAAATACTTTGTTAAGACCGGCATTTTAGTCTGATAATTAATCAGATATTTTGAAATAAACGCCTATTTTATCAATCCAAACTATTAATAATGTTTGTATGTATTTGAAAATACAAAACGCATACATACATCGTTGGTGTGACCAGTGACGGTGGATAAAAAATAATTGACCTTTACGGTTTGCATACGTAAAGAGAAATAATTGACGACTCAGGGATTTCCGGAGTACCTTGCCTGGTATAGTTTTTTTAAATTGGCGGCTCTGGATCCATTTCTTTTGAACCGAGGATTGCTCAATGGCCAAAAATAGAATACTTTTATAACTTTCTTGCAAGGATCCCTTAGGCGCGAGCCTGTCGGCGGTCTCTGACTCCAAACGCCGCCACTGGGTGTGACAATTGTTAAAAATTTTGATGAGTACTGACATGGGCTACATAAAAATAATGTTTTTAAACCATATCTGTAATTTTTATAATGTTTGATTCAAAACGCTGAATATTTTTCATATAAATATGTTTTGTAATTTGTATCATAAACTGTAATAATAATTTACTTTATAAATATAGAGATATTTTGAAATGCTTATTTTTCAATCGTCAATTATTGTCTTCTTTCATGTTTCCTGGATTTTACGTTTCATTTTCAACCTACCCCTTGTTATTATTATTATCATGATAATAACCATAAAAACGCTCCGACCCCAAGGAAGTTATCGTCTTCTATGGATTTCAGACATGTAAACTTTGGACTTAAAAGAACTTGAGTCGTATTCACATCATCTACCCTCTTTTGGAAGCGCGACTGTGCGAAATTACCTCGCTGCTTTATTTCTCATGACCATACTATTTTGAAAACTGAAGCTATTTACTCCACGTGAGGGAGCCACCATTCAGTATGGAAATCTTGCTAAATTGCATATCTGTGGCGGACCTTCATCTATGAACACAAAACACAAATTTCATACCATGGAACACTACGACCTGTCCTGTCAGTTGTCGTTGCATTGAGTTTCTCAACTCTTGTCGATATGTCGATTCAGTCGATGGTCGATGTTCGATTTCGATGTCGATTCATTTGTCAATTTGTGTTTTCCGCACGGAGTGCTTTTTTCCCTTGAAAAACCAAGAAAAGCCAGAAAAGTGATGGAGTGTAGGGTAAAATGAGACCATCGTACCAGAGGAGGTGATCTAATATATCCGAGATATCGATCATTGCTCAGTTTCTAAGTATGATCGACGTTACCACCCACAGCTATCCACAGGATGAGGTTAGAATTCTGAAATTTTCACAACTATTTCCCCACAGCTGAAAAAGCGGTTTTCTTGATTATCTCGCATTTCTTACACGCAATATGGATTATTCAATATATTTATCTCGCTTTAGATAAGTATGGTCCAAGATGTGACCTCATCGTACCAAGCATCTATCGCAACCTATCCACAAATTTCAAACAAGACGATGCACGAAATCATCCCCGGAGTCTACCTAGGGTCCTATACAGCGGCCCAGAGGAACAGCCTACTAGAAAATGGCATAAATTACATAATATGCGTAAGGCAAGAGTACGAAGCACATTTCATCAAACCACAAGTTAGTGAACCTGCATTTACTTACCTCACATTGGATATTCAGGATAATGTGACAGAAAACATAATCAGGTTCTTCCCCAAAGTTAGGCAGTTCATTGATGACGCCTTATCTCACAACTGTAAGGTGCTTGTACATGGGAATAATGGAAACTCAAGAAGTGCCACTTTGGTTCTGGCCTATTTGATGGAAAAGTATGGGCTCAGCAGTAGGTAAGTTCTACAAAACATTGTGAGGGATCACACTGTAACCCACCATTGCATTTAATAGAGTTTAAGGAGACATAGACTCAGCAAAGTAAGGACTTTCGTACAGTTAAAATATAGTTATTTTCGTAGTTTCAATGTCACATCAACAAAAGAAGTAAATAGTTCGACTGACATTACCATGTGTGTAGTTTAAATTTTCTAAGGGAAATGGCACACTGTGCGACCCAATCTGTAGCACAGTAGCTACTAGCATTTGCACACACACACACATTTATTTCATAATACAAGATTATTGTTTTCACTTTGTGAAAACATTTCTGGTACAAACTGTCAACATTGTAGTTGTAGCTTCAGGCATGTTCCATATTGAAAATCAACAGGCAATACCAAAATATTAGAAAAAGAGAATATAGTTGATAAGGAGAACTTTCATTTCAAATTGTGTTTTATACTCATCAAACTCTCTTAGAGAAGAAACAGTGTCTGCTGCAATGACTGTCAATTTATTCAAGAATAACCTGGATAAGGATAGGAGACAGGGAAGCATGTTTCATGCATTATCCAGCATAAAAAGAAGATTTTACTCTACTCATTAGACTTTTCCACATACTGTTGTAGTGCTAACAACAATAAACATAGATTGCACTCTCATAAGGTGTAAGTCATCATACTGACATTGACAAGCATAAATGTGGAAGACTCACATTTTGACAAGAAATTATTCTAAGTGGTGAGACAAAACTAAAAAACACTGTATATGTGTGAGAGAAATAGGTGTGTGAAAGTAATTCCTGTAGTTCTACTATGACCTACCGAAGACTTCCAAAAGACCTATATTTTAGTATATTATAATTTTAAAATCTCTCAGAAAAGAATTTGAATGATACTCTTGTTTAGTGAATGTTTAGTTGCAACAAAAAAAGTTGGCAAAAAGTATAGATGTATAAGAATTCCTATCTACAGTATATTCAGATAAGAGATAGACCGGATGTAAACAAAAGGTTCGGGTGATTTTCACGCTAACGCCGCCGTCTCGACGTAAAACAGGAGCCCTCATTGGTCAATTCGCAATTAAATGCCTATGCCGAGCGGCAGAGAAGTCGTATCAAGGCAGAGTCACATTCAGGTTCAGACGTGTTACGTATGTCGTGTGCATCATTGCAATTTGATATTTCTTTGGACGTTTTCGTTTGTTATCTTATTAAGTTGTTGAGTTTGTCGTTGTTATTGTTATACCTTGTTATAATTATAGGCTAATTTAAACGCCATTTTGAGATTATATTCGACTGTATTTCACCAAACATCAGACGGCATCCGAAGCTGGAAATCTAAGCGAAAATTTTGAAACCCTTATGTATATTTACATCATTATATATTTCTTACCCCACCCCCACATGATCCTATATCCATCACCAATCGTATACACATCGAATTGTGCTAATTTACTACAAAGTTATGCAAAGCAGCATCTACTATCTAAAATATGTACTGCGTGACTCTTAATACGTCCCTGCCGAATGTTACAGCGTTCGATGATCACGTGGTCTTGTTTATGTCCGGTCTATCTCTTATCTGAATATACTGTATACTTACTTCCTACATTTGGTAGTTGAACAGGTACTACTTTTTTAAAAAAATAGACAAAAAATAATTCTGGAATTCATTTCAGTGATGCATTGAGGTATGTGAGAGAAAGGAGAGCATCAGTAAACCCAAATGATGGCTTCAAAGCCCAACTGGTTGAATATGAACCTATTTACAAGGCCAGGCAGATCATGTCAAATGGTGAATCTTCCAGTGACTGCCGGCAAAAGCGAAAATGTGAGCAGCTTACAGAAACAGTTGATTATAACTTGATCCAGAGACCACCTAGTCCAGATCTGGAGAACAACAATCATACATATGGGATAGGCAATGAACTGTCTACACATCTACTTAGGTTGCTTAAAGAGACTTAGATTGGTTTGTATGGACTTTGGAATATGTTCAGTGTTTATAATGTGTTATGTGTTTGAATAATGATTGTTTGTTGAGAAGATGTGATTTAGAGAGAATTTATAGACAATATTTTAGTATATGTGCTTCCTAAGGTTGCATTGGATAAGTCAGTATAGTAAAAGGTTATGCTATTTTCCACGTTCATTGTTACTCTCTATTTCCTTATTGTTTGACATTTCTCAGTTTTATGAAGGTTTTTCATTTTTTGATATATATATATATATATATATATATATATATAGTATCAATAGATCCATTTCATCTGTCTCATATAGATACAATATCAGGTGTTTTTTAGAAATACACCTTTAAAATGATTTTATTACATTTTAAAAATGTATGCCTCAAAAACACCTAATAAATATATTACTTTCTATACATGTCATGAATGTGTTGTATTAATAAGTGTGATCATAGGTATCTTAACTTTAAATTTCACAGATTACTGGACATTTCTGCAACACTTTCCATACTTTCTCTTTTATTTCAATCACTTTAAGTATCACTGAGTTTTATACATATAAATGATTTTTGGAAGCTATCACTCACATTTGAGTGCTTAAAAATAGATTTTAATAATTAGTTCATTTACTTTCCACTCCACTATCAATTAAAATAGAATGAACTTAGCATTTTTAGATATAATTGATAGCATAATATTTAACATACACTGAGAACCAGATTATTCTGATGGCATACACATTTGTGAATTGTGTCGAATTTAGGATTGATTCCCAATCGGTCCTAACCATGCTCCATGTAGATCGAAATGAAAGGTCAGGATTGCCACAAATTCTGCAACATTGCATCATTGGTTCGTTTGATTACACCGCATCTTGTACATTTCAAAGCAAAGTTTCCACCTCCATGGTCATAGTTGAGTGATTCTGGTCAGTACCCATCTAGCATTCGTAGGGGAATGCTGTCCTGCTTCAAAATGGCTTTCACCTACATACATGCTGGCGATGGTTAATTTTTATTGCTTAACGTTATTGGTTACATTTTCCGACCGCAGCGCTGTCACAAAATCTAACAATAAATCAGGATGTGTTGATTTTATGAACGTCGCTGGAAATCGGAGATGATTCTTAAGTGAAAAAAGTCGCAACAAAATTGAAATTAACAATTCTAATCAAAATGGAAACAAAATATTAAATAGAATATTTGAACAGACCTCCTTCTTAAGTTTGACAATAGCCTATTGTAGAAGCCTGTGCCCATTTTCTGGTGTAACATATTGGCGAAGCGGCAGATTACACGACCTTCTGTGTCACCATCGCTAGACAATGTGGTGGTGACCTTTGCTCTTCAGGCGGCTTCTACCTCTTTCTAACTTGTGCTGATACATACTTCTCGCGCTTCTCTCTTGTACACTTAGAACTCAAGCCGTCAGACAAATTTGGTTTTTCCTGTATACAGTTATTATCAAAGCACAAATGGCGCTTATTTGTGTAAAAACCACGCCATGGGGAATTATCATTTTTTTTTCTTAGTTTCAATGGTATTTTGAGGTATCTCCAATTACCACAAAATACTGTTTTATGTTCATTTCATCAAGAATGATGTTAACACACATTTTTTAACTGCCAGTGATATTTTCTAATTTTTGTACATGCAACACTGCCTAAACTGCATTGATTTGTTCCTTGTGATATGCATAGACCAATCTTCCACTTTTGATTATCACATTTACCAATTTTTAAGATAAAAGTACTAGTCAGACAGTTTGTAAGTTTCTACCATTATTGTTGAAAAAATATAGTAAAACACTATAATAGTAGCTATTATTTTTGGTAGCTTTACTTAAATATGAGTATATTATTTTGGATAGAGAATTTAGGAAATTTTTCTTATTTGTAAATCACTGTCTGCTCTTAAATCACCACTTATACAGAGGTCTTACTATATTTTTCCAACATTTTCATTGATATTTAAAATTGATACAGTTTTCTGAAAATTTCCCTTTATGTTTCATTAACAGAGATTCAAAAATGTAAATATAAGATAGTGCCTATTTGTAAAATATATTGGAAAGAAAACTATTTTTGTACTTTTGTAATTTTAATTTCCATTATTGTATATAAATCTTCAATGTGTCCAGATACAGAATTTGTTGGTAAGTTGAATTTTCGTTTAATAGTTTTGTAAATATTTGATATAAAATAGTCATTGATATTGAAAGTTACCATATGTTATCCATTGAGATAAAACAATAAATTATTACATCTCGTATTGTTTTGGAAATGGTGTCAAAAAACTGTTTTCAATAACTGCACCAGAAATTGGAAATTCAATTTCTCAACCAATATCTTGTCTATAGTGAGACATTTTCCTTTTTGAATGTTTCTTATTTAGTTGAATATCTATTGTTTTTATAGTGGTAAATGTACATCAGTTAGAGCATAGAATTTCCATTAAACATTGTATGCTGCTTTTATACCAAAAACTGGTTTATTTCTTAAAATCTGCATTAAAAGTATGATTCTTTTAAGCTATTTTTGCTGGAATCTTGGCACATGCTGCATCCTCATCATTACTTAGTTGCAGTTCCCATTTGACGTCAACTGTAACCTGAAAAAATAAAAGGTACGAATACTGTAACAGTCGCAGATAGATAAAATTTTCTCAAATCGTGGGGTACACAACGTGCAAAGGAACTCTACTTTTTTCCTTACCAAGCACAGTTAGACACTAAGTGCTGCTCAAACGTTGAAACATGATACTTACTCTTGGATAGTGGGGGCTGATAGGTAGAGCATTAATGTACGTGTAAGTTTGTCCAGCCTTTAGAGGGCAAGTCACGCCAGAGTCTTTGCAACCATCAGGATTTGGGAGGTCAAAAGGCATGGGCACTCCCAAGATTTCACCATGGACGACTGCTTTTAATGTATCGGAATCGCCCTCTGGAAATTATTTTAACGATAAAATCTACTCATATTTTCGATAGCATTGTTTGCTAATAATAATAACTACCTAGAGTAAACAGATTTCCAAAATTGCGAAATCATTTGGGATGGTATGTTTAAATATTGTTTTTTGATCGTGAATTACGGTTCTACCCACTTCGTTTTTTATTAGTTTGAGCTATCGTCTATTCATGAACAAAGGTACAACATATCCAAAATATACTGTTTTTCACTCCACTGGGTTTTGTCTATGTATCCGTATTTGTTATCTGATGCCACCATGTATAAAATAACAAGAACGATCTAGGTAGTACTTTTTACTATTCCGATAATTCTATCTCGGTAGATCGAAGTGAAATAATGGATAGTTGACCTTGGTGCATATTGAATAACACTAACAGGATTAAACTACAAACGCAAACACGGTGAATAGACTGAGACAGGAAGTGCATTTATAATTATACGTATCGATTTGTTGAATGTTTATTACATTTCCACTAATTCTAGTAAAGCAAACATGCGTCATTTGGTATGCTGTTTCAGATGACAAGATGAAAGTTGAAAAATTCAATAAAATGAAATAATCTCAAGTATCAATGTTTTAGTAAACAATAACGTGAGTTCTTAGATTAACACAAGATTAAAAATTACAAATTGCTGGCACCGTTTTTTACCCAGTGTGTTGAGAAATTTTGGGAATACGAAATAATTATATACTCCGTACATTAGAAGTTTTACACCCAGAAAGAATAATTTCTTTAACTTGATTTTTTTGCAATAAGGTAATATTACATCAAAAATGAAACGGTAACATTCTCACGAAATTTTATGAACAAGTGATAAGACAAAAATTAATGTGTTGAGCGACCCCGCAGCTTAATACACTTCTGTATACGTCTAGGCATCGACAAAATGAGAAGATCGATGTCTGGTTGTGGCACATCATTCCAAGCACCTCAAACTTCGTGGATTAGCTTTGGCAGAGTCTGTGTCGGTTGCTGCAAAGTGGATAGGCTCCTCCCAACCATATCCCACACATGTTCGATGGGATTTAAATCCAGTGAGCTAGCCACGACAAAACGTCAACGCCTGCTTCTTGAAAAAAGTCCGTAGCCCGACGAGTAATATGCGGACGAGCGATGTATTGCTGAAAAAGGACATGTGGACGGCCCTCTAGATACGGCAGTAATGTGGGTTGTAGGACATAATCAACATAACGCGCAGCAGTCATATTGCCTTGAATAAAGAGAAGACGTGATTGGCTACCATAGGCAATAGCCCCCCAAACCATTACTCCAACAGTCTTGTGTACATGCCCCAATCCAATATCACGCCGTTCTCCACGGTGGCGTCTTACCCTTCTACGACGAAAGTGAGTACCTAGACAGAATGGCGATTCGTCGCTGAAGATGACATTATGCCATTCTTCCTCCAAATGTTGCCGTTCTCTGCTCCAGTTCAAACGTTGACGACCATGGTCCGCAGTCAGAGGAATCACTATAACCGTGAGGGGGTATGAAAAAGTCTACGGGCTCGAATGCGGCGATAGAGTGTTCGTATAGTAACAGGTCTATCTTCTACAAACCACTGGTCAGCGCGTAGCAAAACGGTCTCTTAGGGCTAGTGCATCGGTGGACCAGTTGGCCCTCTTCGTGTTCCTCTACCTTCTTCTATCCACATACGACAGACGCATTACAGTGATTCCACCACAAATAACACGGCGGTCGATTTCGGGATAGGACAAACCAATATCTCAATAAGCAATAATTCTACCCCTGTCAAAGTCGCTAACATGGTGATAATTTGGACGTCTTCGAATTCGGGGCATTTTGTTATGCTTAACACTAGTAAATGAAAGGGCAATAACTAAAAATATCTGTTCTACTCAGCTCTCAGAAGCTGATTGACTGAAGAAATTATTCTTTCTGGGTGTAACACTTCTAATGTCAATGAGTATACTTACATTATACATACTTGTTATCATCTATCTTATTTTAATTCAGTCACGTATATTTTTCTTTTACTTGTGTAAATCTGACCTTTTCCTGTTGATGTTTCATATCGGCAAAGCAATTTGTATAAAAGTTATTATTAATTTCAAGGGAAGTTGGAGAGTGATCTTTTTTTGTAAGGATATCATGTTTAGAAACAATTGAGTCTGTCTTTATCACTCCAAAGGAAATTACTGCGAGCATTTAACAGAAAAATGTGGGCAAAGTACTCCTGCATACACATTTTAATACTTACTTGGCGTAAATATAATTTTCAGTGTAACATTTGTGTTCCTTTTGAGTATACATCGTTTGCCTTCGACACAGTCCGATACTTCGACGTCACTTATCGTTCCAACCTCTGACCCTGTAACGTAATCATATATTTGTTTGATCACCATCCCAATTTTCAACTTAATGCATGCTTATCTATTCTATGAATAGATAATATACTCGTAATCATCGAAAATCTATAGTAACAAACAATCATTAACAGTTGTCTGATTTTTAACCGCCAATACTATTTTTAATACAAATTCTCTAAATTCAGGGTGCTTCCTAATTGAATAAATATTTAAGGGGGTAATTTTTTGGTCCAGTTTAGTTAGAGGACGACTGTGTCCTAAACGTCTTAACTTTTGAAACATAGTGGCACGCCACCTCTGCTGACTTTTCATTAAAAAGAAAATTGAATCTGTAATCATTTATTAGCATATTTTAAATTATAATTTTTTTAGTCCGACTCATGGTTTCCTTATGAACAAAAAGCTATTTCGTATGGTGATATGTATTTTGTCATATCAACGATATTCTTCTATGGTCATGCAGGGAAACGGTTTTTATTTTTTTGCTTAGAAATGATTGAGGATATAATAAGTTAAGAGACATCAGTGGCATACTATCAATGTCCGTCAAAATGGGGAGATGAAATTTCGTACAAACGCCATTGGTGGAAATTGGGAAAATCTAGTACATTAACGAATGCCTCTTGATTCATAGTACCTACATGAATATAAAATTTCATTAAAATATCTAAATTGGCATTCACTACGCCATCCGGTTTCGATGGATAGCCAAGTTCTGCCAAAGAGCCGTTCATTTTGACTGGTCGGAGTCCAGATCACCGAGGACTTAATCTGGCACAAACACATCTAGTCAATAACGTCAGCTGCTGGGAAAAAGCTAGGATATGTGCTTATGGCTTAGAAGTGCTTTTCTCTATATGACCATCTCACTCTATACAAGGCCCAGATAAGACCCAGCCTCGAGTATTGCTCATATGTTTGGTTTACCATCGCCCCGACTGATCGAAGACTCTCCTCTCTCGGACAGTCTCGGGACCCTTTTGCATTAGCTGACCGTCGGCGATCTAGCTCTCGTCTAAAAGCTACATCAATGGGCTTTGCTGGTCGGAGCTCTCCTCCATGATGCTGCCGCGAGATGTGCCTACCAGACAGATCGCCAGACTTCCGTGTCGAACTTCGTACATCCAGAACTGGCCAATACGACCGTTCCTTTGTCCCTAGAGTGTCGAGATTGTGGAACAATCTACAAGAGGATTCTTTTCTCAGTTCTACCAACATTAGGCAGTTCAAAAATCGGATTACTAATGTTTCGTTGGGATCCTCATAGGAGCCACGTGGCATTTAGACTTTTGACTGGCGGATTTGTTTTTGAAAACTTCACCACCCTGTATCTCACAAGCTAAGACGTTTAGTACATACGTTCATATCAAGCTTTATTCTTAGAATGGACCCAAAAATTGGGCCTATTATTGACATTCGATTAGTAAACACCTCATCAAGACAAGGGGCAACATTTTCATTTTTCCCGTGGAGCATTGCGGTACCTTAAAGGTAGCAAATAGTTCGCTTATTATTAGCCCCAAAACGTCGGAGTCGAATTCCCCGCACCCGATTTATACGCTCTTGTACAGTTAGGTCAACGGACCTTGCTCCTTTATAATAGTAATAATAATTTAGTAGGTCCGTCAGGTCTGCTTGCCCAGATGTGACCGTCAAGAAATCATGAAATTGATTTTCTGCTAACCTTTTTTACGCATCCTATTTAACCAAGAGACGCGGCTCCACATCTTTAGTAATTGGACAATATTAGATCTATATTAATGCAACAAGAACCAATGCAATTCTCTTGTGTACCTATTTTGAAATAAGAAAACAAAGCTTGATGACTAATGTTTATGAACCAAAATTCTTTCTTAAAGGCTGTATTTTTGTAGCACGATTTCTGATATTACCAGGCCGAAGAATAATTCGGTCTAAATCATAAGGTCATGTCCCACAACGTGAACCATTAAACTATTACACAATTAACTAAAGAGTGTCTCACCGCAGTCCGTATATGCCCAACTCGCAGCCACGATGCTCAACAACACTAAACTTGCAGCGATTTTGTACATGTTGTAGTTACAGAGTTACACTAACCACTGTTGAGTTCTTGCTAATGAGATTATATGAAAACAAGACACTATCAGCTTTCAGCGCATACCGAGATCTGTTTTATCTGTAATGAGTAGCGAAACCTTATGAACTGCGCTGGATCTTCCGAAGTTTTCACAATAAACAGAGAAATATGAATGGGTGGTCGTTAATTTTGTGTTTGTACAGAGTGAGTCACTTTTAATGATAGTGTTTTGGGATTATAATTTTGTTTGTCTTGTACAGTGTTTTTCAGAAAGGTCCCTCACCTTACGTATTTTTTGAACGGGTCAAGTCAGTTAGCTGAAATTTGGGGTAGTGAAATTGACGTATAAATAATATATTTTAATATAAAAATAACAGTTGAAAGTTTCAAGCTGACGGTCGGGCGATATCATATAACTTTTTACTTCTCACGGAAGTATGTATCATAATCTGAGATAAAACACTAAATTGAACTGACAATCACGCTTCTCTCGTCGGGTATTATTAGACCGGAAAAATCTACAATGCTTTACGTGTTCATAAATCCAAGAACCAGATGATGATGCGCGTCCCCAGTGTTCTCAGAGTTTCTCCACTAAAGTATAGGAACTGAAATAAAAATTTATATTGATTGAGAAGAAAATTATTTTCCATGATGAAGGGTGGGAACAATTTATTTTATTTGTTCAAGGAATGGATATAAAACTAACCAATTTGTGTTTAACCTACACCTTGTATACAATGCCTTTCAAAATGGTCACTTAGTGTAGCTAATTATCTATGTGGTCCTCCCTACTTATTTTTTGAACAGGTGAAGTTATCACTAAAAGCAAGCTGTTAAAAATTTCAAAATGACAGCTCCTTATGAGTTCTTTCTAGAATATAAAATCACCATTTGTCAAAATGACGAGTTAGCGGCTGTTATTAAAGTTTGACGTTTTTGTACATTGAGTGGGTAATAACACAACAACCCATCATCGGTATTTTAAATTCTAAAGTTATAAAGTACAGGGTTCACAATAAAATACAGCAGTCACGTCTCCCTAATCCAATTAAAAAATGGCGCCAATAATAGTAAGTTGACGCTAAGTCAGTTCGTATAGGATTATGTTTGGCACAAATTTTAGCCCTTATACGAAAAAAGTTAGCTACGAGCATGTATAACAAAAAAAATAAATGACCTTCGTTAAAGCTGCATCATCGTTGCGATGACCAATCCCGCGTAAATGACGATATTGTCGTTTACCATGCACATTGCAGGCAGCCCACGCCAGTGCGGAGCGATTGCCAACTGTGATGTACAACGACAGCGCTTGTTCATCGGGGGATGACGTCGCACGCGTCGACACCCGACTGTATGAGATATTTTTAAGTTTTAAGGGTGAATGTACGGGGACATTTGTGATGAGTGAAATATTCATAATAAATGCGTAGAATCACTGGGTCTGGACGCGTAGTCAAAATCACGAAAGATGACTATTACGTCATATCATAAATTGTACTGAAATAATCAATGGACGTACGTCAATGATAAAATCACGATGTCAGGAACATAATGTCAATAAATTTATATTATGATTTTGCGAAGCTAGGTTATTTCACTGTTTATTTTTTTTTCATTTTATTTCATGGTTTGAGTGATACCTTAATAAATATCTCATTTTGCTGCGGAGAGTTCCCAAGTAGGCTGAAACTAGGCAAAGTTATACCAATTCTAAAAAAGGGGAACGAGCTTGATATTACAAACTACAGGGCAATCACTGTGCCGTCTGTATTTTCTAAAGTGTTTGAATATGCCTATTTGGATAGACTTCTTCTACATCTTAAGAACAACAATATTTTGTCTCAAAACCAGCATGGTTTCACAGATGGTAAGACCACAATGTCAGCCATACATTCCTTTTATGAGAAGCTTATAGAATACATCGACGCGGGTGAGTGCCCTACTGGGGTATTTTGTGATCTCAGTAGGGCATTCGACTGCGTTGATCACAACAAATTCTTGGAGATTGTTGTTAAATATGGTTTTGTCGGTCAGTCTCTTAAATGGGCCAGATCGTTTTTAGTCCAAAGAAAACAATATGTTTCACTAGAATATCTTGATGCAGGGAACAATATGAAAAACTTTGTGTCAAGTACGTTAGACATTTCGATTGGAGTCCCTCAGGGCTCTATTCTTGGACCAATCTTTTTCCTCTTATACATTAATCGGTTTGATAGTGTTCATCCAGATACCCATTTTACAGCATATGCTGATGACGTTTCTGCGATAATATCAAGTAATTCAAATATAATTTTGAAAGATAAATGTAACAACTTAATTAGGAATATCAATACATGGTTTAACCAGTACTCACTTTACTTGAATCCTTCCAAAACAACGCTTATTCGTTTTCATCACGCTCAAAAAACTGTAGAAGGGTTTCAAGTTAGATTGGGTGACGATCAACTCGATTTTAGAGGAGAAGTGAAATTTCTTGGAGTTCATTTTGATTCGAACTTAAATTGGAAGGCCCACTGCGAATTTCTCACATCAAAAATGTACTCTCAAAGCTATGTGTTGAGGCAATTAAAAACCATCTTAACAGCTGAACAATTGATACAAGTTTATTTTGCTAATGTGGATTCGAGATTAAGATACGGAGTATGTTTCTGGGGTTGGTCAACGCGCTCTGAAGATGTATTTGTGTCTCAAAAAAGATGCATCCGATCATTAGCAGGCATCTCACCAACAGAAAGTTGCAAGAAATATTTTATAACTTTCAACATTTTAACTGTCCCTTCGTTGTATATATATGAATTGTGCTTACATGTTTTTAAAAATAATGAAAAATTCAAGCGAAATTGTGATATGCATAATTATGATACAAGGACTTGTAATAATTTATATGTAAACTTTAGCAAATCAAAAGCGGCATTTCGATCACCTAATAAAATTGGTCCGCTTCTTTTTAATAATTTACCATGCCACATTACCTCGGTTAAAAATATTAACGCCTTTAAGTTCCTGTTGAAGGAATTTTTGATAAACAAGTGCTTTTATCGTGTTGATGAATTTTTGAACATAGCAATTTGAGATTAGTTGTAGGTTCGTAGCGAACGAAAAATTGACAATTCCAATACAATTATATATTGTCTGTATGGAAATAAAGGTTATTGATTGATTGATTGATTGAATGATCTTAGTGTGGAGTTTTTGTTTTTCATTAGCAATACAGTTTGTTTAGACAATAAAATTCTGTTTGTCTCTGTCTAACATATCAGAAACTTCATTAAAAATAATCACAAATCGCTGTCGATTGTCTTTACTACTAAAATGATGACTTAATCGCCATCTTTCGTGATTTCGACTATATATAAATTTAGCAATGTCAAAATATTGAGACATAATTAAAATAAATATAATTTCATGGAATTCCGAGCGATATACTTCTCAAGTTAAAAGCGGTTATAAGATCAGCGGACAGACCCATAGACAGACCGAAGGAAATGTGTGACATGGTTTATATGGTGTACATGTCATATGACATCCAAAAAAATGTAATATGTCATTCATGAAAATTTTTGCGATTACAACAGAATATTATATGCCTAAATTAAAGCTTTTTTGGGTAAAGAGGAGGAAAAGATATCATCCAGCCGAAGCACAAAAAGGGTACACATTGCACGAAAGATGATTGTAGATATGAAATGAAAAGCATGTGAGTGAGGAAAAGCGAAGAACCTTTTTTGTGCTCTCTTCCTTAATATCGAGGACACAAAACATGCACCCAAATCAAGATCATAAGGCAAAGGGTTGATGGCGGATCGCTTTTTTCAGCTTTCCTCACTTTTTCGATCCACATTTCACTTTTCATTGAAAATACTCTCTTTTCTCACTGTTTTTGCTCTCGCTGTACATATTGTAGTTGATTCAAGTTTTCGAAAAAGCTGTCCTCCTTCTCTCAAGCCGCACGGAATCAAATGAAGAGACATTTTTCTACAAAAATTAACTACGACAAAGTTGTTCATGTACAGGATTCTCTCCAAGCTGAGCCAATATGTATAACATGAGTAATTACTAGGATTTGTTGAAATCTACGTTGAATTTTAACTCGACTTTGCTAAAAGCACTCTATATATATGCACTGGGTATTTCAAATTCTAAAACGATAAGCAATATGAAGGCAAACTTGCGCATTTAGGTCATTAATAAAATGTTACTTAGTTTGGTAATTCTGAGTATTTTTGGACTGAGAGAGATTAATTTACCCTGATCCGTTTTCATTTTCTCCTTGCTTAAATTGAGCTGGGATTTCAATATAAATTGCTTTGTTCAAGTAACTGTTCGTATTTTAGTTCGTTAATATGCATGTGTAGGACGAATCGTGAAACTAAATTTCGAATCAATTAACCTTAACCAATTGAGCTAAAATTTTGTATGCCTGTCTGGTCCGTCTGACAATACATATTTAATTAACTGCCGCCATTTTGAATCTAATATGACGTATGCTACATAATGACGATTTATCATTTCCATAATATATAATATGGGTATAAAATGAAAGAGCCTGCTGAGAGAAATATAATAAGCAAACTGACGTCATTCTAAATCCAATAAGATGGACACCGCAATTTGGCGATTTATGATTTCCACAGTCACCTCTATAATATGGGCACCAGATGAAAGGCCTTGAGAGAAACACAATAAGCAAAGTGGCGTCATTTCAAATCAAATTTGTCGACCGTCGTAAGATGGCGTTCATAATTTCTATAGTTACCCGTATGCTATGGTTATCGACTGAAAGGGCTTGATGAGAGAGACATAGTAAAAAACGCGACGTCATTCTAGATCCAATATGGCGGCCACCGCAAAATGTTGATGTATGTATAATTTCCATAGTCACCCCCATATTATGTATAACAAATGAAAGGGATTGCTGAAAGAAACACAATAAGCAAAGTGACGTCATTCTAATCCAATAAGGTGAACGTTTAATATTACAAATGACATGGAGATGATCTGTGGATGGAGCCAAGAAGTGGTACTTGGGAACCCATCGAATAGGGCCACATTTGATTTCTAATGGAAAGTAGATTAAGCTAATCAACTATTGTGTAAAAAATACTCATCTATCATACCTATATCAAATTTCAACTTTTTAACATTAGGTTGTTCGCTAAAATTTAGGATCAATCAATTGAGCAAAAATACTTGATCGATAATAAGTACGTCTCCCGTATTTACAAGAATTTGTTACATTTTTTATGTTTATTCAATGCATCATATGCATTTGACTGTAAAATATGCATACATATAAACAATTATGTTTGATTACGTCAAGGTAACAGTGTAACAAAGACATAAGAGTTATTCTCGTTTTTGACATCTTATTTATACTATCCGTTTAAATTGGGCATTATATTCAATTTCTCATAAAATTAACTCACTATTTCTCAGTAGTTGTTTTTGGAAATCTCACTTTTCTCACTTTAATCCATGCTTTGGATTGCGCCAGCACCTCTACACGGCAGAAATCCTTAACAGGGGTCAAATAACTAAGCAGCGGCAACCTCGCAAATGCTTTTACAATCATGGACACGTCGTCTGCCTTCTACGCCTCGTGGCCCAGGTGACGTTGTCAGACTGTCTCTTTATGAATAGGAATATAGATATAGTTTGTGAGACAATCGTGAGATAGGAAATAGTAAAATATCAACTATTAGTTTCTATTTTTTTGAGTAGATTTTATTGCACTGAAGGACTACGAACTATCACTTTGGGTAATAATAGGTAAAATAAATGTCTAACAGGGCAAAAGTTGATTTACATCTATTATTATCTACCTACTATAAGTACTATAATAACGGATGTTCCGGTTGCCTGGCAGTGCTTTCAATGTACAAGATCTATACATAACAAATTTTAAAGAAGAATAATTAGGAAATTGACCAGAAAATCATAGTTTTATACAAATACTTTTTTTGAAACTTCCATCATAGTAAACTGACTGAATTATGTATTAATTTATTCTAGGTAGATTCATGTGTGTTCAAGCATTCTATCTGGTAGAATGCCCATTAATCAGTTCTGTAATTTAGAAACAGGAAACTATCTGTAATATTCTGAGTTGATCCGGCAACAGCGCTGTAAAGGGACACGGCGACGTGCGTTGGTCCGTTGGTTTGACAGAAGAAAATTTGGAATTGGAACTTCTCTGGGAAGCAGGCAAGAAGAAAGGAGAGCATTTCAGCGATCCTCAAAGGCGAATTTTGAAGCAAGTGTCTGACATAGTCTTAAATTTACATATTTGAGAACCAAGGTATTCACATTTACGAAAGGTTAGTGAGTGATTTCCCTTTTTGCTTATTTATCTATGAACATATCGACGTGTCCGATATTTTCGAGTCACTTTCAAAATTACTGTTATTTTTTCAGCAATATGGACCAACCCATGGATCAGCTCATGAAACTCATCAAACCCGGCCGTCAATTCGCTAAGGATTCCATCAGATTAGTGAAAAGGTGTACAAAACCTGATAGGCGAGGTATGTGGCAGTATTTCCCAAAAATTTTACCATTTTTTTTCTCGTATTCAAAAGTTGATTGTGACCTTTATTGAAGCTCATTTGATTAAATAGTCTAAGAACCATAATTTGACAAATTCCACACTGTTTCTGTAATGGTTGAAATCAGTTTGGTTTAATATAGTTTAGCTTTCAGCTTTAGCTTTTTGTGAAGAGTTCTTCTACCTTTTACTTTCTGTGATCAAAATTCTGAAGTTGGGGTACTGTCGTGACTTGTAGAACCTCGGATTTCATGTTTCTCCAAAGCTCTACAAGATACAACAGTACCAAAGGTTACATTCCGTAAATTTTAAGCTAAATATTTAAGGGGTATAGAGTTGAGGAGAAATTTGAATTTTAATCTTACTATTCTCTTTTGATACTAAACTGAATTGTGTAATCACCCACTTATGGTCCTCAAAGCAAATCACTTACGTGTCAATGTTCTGTTTTCTTCTGTTTCTATATATAAATATATATAAATCACACTTTTGGAAGGTGACAGGTGATGCATGAGAATACATGATTTAGTAGAGTCAAAAGAAAAGTGAGAAGTATCAGTTTGGAATTTCCTAACTGCAAACCCTGCCTTGAGTGTTTATGGCCAATATGATAGTAATCTATAATGCCTTATAATAATACCATGACTATTATTCCAAACACCCTAAGAAAATTTTTTGTTACAGAATTCCAGAAAATCGCTGTTGCAACTGCCATTGGTTTCTGCATTATGGGATTCATAGGATTTTTTGTGAAACTAATCCACATACCTATTAACAACATCATTGTTGGATCATAATGTATTTATTAATTTTGTTGTTTTTTTTTCATATTCATTTATTCCATGTTCTTAAAGTAGTCATCTGACATTTCCATTATATCTTAATAAAGACCTTTTTCTATGAGAATGTTTTATTCATGACTTATTGATGATATAGACCAGGGATTGAAGGTCCATCCTCACATACACAAAGCTTTATTTAATTTGAACTCTAAATTTTATACATACATACAGGGTGCTCATTTGAAAACTTCCCACTACAGATTTATTGAAAACCACTGATTAAAAATAAAAACGCCTAGACACGTCAAAAGATTTGTCAAAGGAATCAACTTTTTAACCAAAAACTACTTGCAATGGCTAGGCGACTAGTTTCCAGATAAATGGGGATATTGTGAAGATGGCCTACTAGATCTTCTGATTTGTCACCATTAGACTTTTTTCTATGGGGTCACTAGAAATCTATTGTGTTTACTCCCCAAATTGAAAGTTTCGATGAAGTTAGTCAGCGCATCATCGAAAGCTGCGATGATATCGCACATGACAATAACGGGCAATTGAAATAAAAAGTGATATTTTCATGTGTTTTTGTTTTCTACCTGACAAATTAAGATAAATGAAGTTTTTTATAATATACTGCGAAAACGAATCGACTGATTTTAAAAAATCAAACGTCAAAATAAAAGGACTTCAAAAGACCTTTCAAACAATCTATTACTTGATACCCCTTGTCATTTAAAATTTTTAAGGGAATGATCCTGGGAAGCCGAGGGTGAAGTACTTCTTGGTTAAAAAGTTGTCCCCCTAGACAAATCTTTTGACGTGGTGGGAAGTTTTATAATGAACACCCTGTATAATAATGCTTCATTTTTTGTTCAGGTTGCATCTTTCATTTCAGAGTAGTGTCTGAAAACAGAAACCACCTTACAGGGTGTGTCCCGTTTTGCTTGTAATTGCAGGGTACCTCGGTTATTTTTAAATACAGAACTTTGTGGGTTTCGCGAACCACTTTCTTTTTGAAACTAATGATGCCACAAACCGAATTATGCTTTGCCACTGAAATACAGGGTGAAAACTTTTTAGGGCACTGTCATAGCTCGCACCCTGTATAAGATAGAAAAAAGGTGAAAACTGCTTTAGCTAGATACTTCTGCGTATTCAGTGGCGTGCTCGAAAAAAAATCAGAGGCGTCGTTCAAGAGTTATGACCCTAACTTAGTTTTTTTTTAATGGAACGCCCTGTATTTGCATTTTTAATAAGAACATTAATATTAGTATGAAATAAAATGTGAGCACCATGTATTTATGCCCCCCATTAATTATTATATACCCTGCAATTACAAGCAAACTGGTACACAGTGTACATATTCGCATTTTTTTTTTTCATTAAAACAATTTATTTTAAAAAATATTGTATTTAACAATAAAAAAATACTAATCTATACCTAATTGAGGCAAAAATTAGTTTGTAATAAAGGCTAAAATCTTTTGTTGTTTTACAGGCCATCAGATACCATAATAATGAAAAAAAATTTAGTAATTAAGAAAAAAGATGATGCAGTTCGGCAATTATCTCCACAACCAGGTCCAAGCAAAGCGTTACTTCAGTTCAAGAAGAATCCGAGGAAACGAGACAGAGTACAACAAATGAATTAGACTCCACTTCTGATTCTGATAATTCAGTAAGATCCAGAAGACCAACCAACCTCAAAAGAAAAAAATATATTTCCAAAAATACAAGGCTGACTGGGAGCAGCATGAAAATTTTAAGAACTGGGTGCAGCCAAAAGTTCCCGTGAAAGCTATTTTTTCCACTGCAAGTTCTGCAATTATGATTATTTAGGCGGCATAGGAGCTTTAAAAAACATGGTTATTCAAAAAAGCATGTAAAAAATTTGAATGTTATGGTTAAGCAGCCAACCTGGTCAAAAAAAGTATTTCAAATTTCTTCTGATAATATAGTAAAACAAAATGAAATTAAAATTGCAGCTTTTAGTGCAGAGCATAATATCGCAATAAATGTGTCAGATCATCAGCGAACTTATAAAATCTATTTGTTTTTCTGCAATAGAGAGTAGCCAAGCGGAAAAAATGTCTGTAGGCCGAACTAAATGTACGGCAATCATAAACAATGTATTAGGGAAAATAAGTTTTGAAAATCTTATTAGTGACTTAAATTGCCATAAATTTTCACTATTAGTTGACGAATCGACAGATTTGTCATCCAAAAAGCATTTAGCAATTGTTGTCCGGTACAATAAAAATTTTAATATAAAGGATCATTTTCTCGGCCTTACTTTAGTTAAAGACGCTGTAGCCCAAAATTTATGCAATGTCATTATAAGTTTTTTTTTCGAAAATAAAATACTATAAAAAGATAATTTAGTAGGATTTGCAGCAGATGGGGCAAATGCTATGATGGGAGCACATCATTCGCTCAAAACTCTTTTAACTAACGATATACCGGATTCATATGTCATGAAGTGTATATGCCACTATTTAGCTCTTTGTGCCTCTTCTGCTTGCGAAATATTACCGGACGTTGCAGAAAAATTGGTAAGAAGCGTATACAATTATATGCATCGCAGATTTAAAACATTTTCGGAACTTCAAGAATTTCAAACATTTTTTAACACCAAACCCCACAAATTATTGAATTCATCACAAACCAGGTGGCTGTCACTGATTTCCGCTGTACCTAAGTAGAATTATTGAGCAATATGATGCTTTAGAGAATTCTTTTAGAATTGAAGCATTCATTGAAGCTTCAGGAGCAGCGGAAATCCATGACATGCTTAATAATAAATTAAATAAACTACATCTTCTTTTTTTGCAATCTATATTACCGACTTTCACGGATATGAGTTTGGAATTCCAGTCTGAAATCCCCAAGGTACACACAACCTTTACCCCCGGATTAATGACGCGTGTAACTTTTTATTAAGCTGTTCCATAAAATCAGAATATTTAAGAAATACAGATATAGCTAATTTTCAATATCGAAATCCAGAACATTTTTTATATTGAAGCGGTAAGCCAAATATGGAAGCGATTACCCTTTAATTCCCGATAAGTACAGATGCTCAAACTAATAACTTTTCTGCACCCATCTAATATATCATCAACTGAAAGCATAGGTCCTCTGGCTAGTAGGTTTCCAAATATAGTTAAAGACATTCACAATTTAGATAAAGAATTTAGGCAGTTGAAGTTTCCAGAATGTGATTTTTCGGTTGGTGAAATTCAATTCTGGAAAAACATAAGCAATATCAAAACAGGGGATGATAGTCTCGCATACCCAAAGCTTGCCAATTTTGTTCAAATTTTATTTACATTGCCACACAGTAGCGCAAGTGTGCTAAGGTGATTTTTTTACATTAATTTAAATACAACCAAATTGCGTAATCGACTGGGTGCTACGACAATAAGTGGAATTTTGCACAGCAAAAGACTAATTAATGCCGAAGATAAAAGCTGCTTTAATTTTCCAATTTCAAGGGACAATTTAAAAAAAACATAATAATAATATGTACTTCGAAGAAAGTCATTCTTTTTATAGTTGTTTATTTTAATGCAGTTTTAAATAAGTTATATTTAATTTCGTTATTACATTTTTAAGCTTTGAAATATATTTGGTGTTTTGTTACTTGTGTTTGATGGTTTTGTATTTGTCGCTTCTTTTAAGAGTCTATTCAAATTTACGGTTTTGTTGTTTGTTTTAAGAGTCTTTAAGAAACTTTTTACATAATGTACTCGAAAGAAGGTCATTCTCTTTCAAATTGGTTTAGGTTAATATAGTTTTAAGTAAGTTATATTTAATCTCATGTTTATTGTTCTGTTTTTAAGCTTTCAAATATATTTGGTGTTTTATTACTTTTGTCTGTTTATATTTATGGTTTCTTTTAAGTGTGTTAAAATGTACGTTTTTGTTGTTTGTTTTTAAAAGTAAAGCCTTAAAAATTAAAAAAATATTTTATCATTTACCTCTTTACAGGGTGTTTCAGTTTATTGTTGCATAACTTTAAGATTCGATAGAACTTTTAAAATGAATGCATAAAGTTTATATAAACATGGGTCGAAAAATGCGTGGCTTCCGAAATACAGGTTGTTTAAATGTACTTTCTAAAATAGTTTTTTTTAAATATTTCGAACAATATTTGATGTATAACAGTGACAATTGGTATACAAGGGTTGTTTGGTACGACAAAACGGGCATAGTTTTACTGTAGCCGCTAGAGGGCGCTCTCTACTGTACCTGTAGTGTATTAAAATAACCGAAAAAATTTTCTTGGTGCAATTTTTTGCTTTTTGAATAAAAAAACTGATTCTTTGCACTTTTCAACATAAAAAAGCTCTCCTGTGAGTTTTCGTTATCGTTAGCCGTTTTTGAGATATTTCGATTTTTAAGGTTCAATGCATTTTTAATCATTTATGGGAAAATAATATTTTTTTTTTACATTTTCGATTTGGGAATTAAAAGTAATTAAGATGATCGTTTAGATTGTGTTTTTAAACACAGCAATAATTCCTAACTCCAAATAAACACAAAAAACAGAATATTAATTTGTTTAATTTTCCAATATTATTTTTAACAAATTAAATTAATTATTTACAACTAAAATGCTATTGGATAGTTAGGACAAACATACAAAATCTAAAGTAGTTGCTCGAAATGTAAACCCAATTGTTCAATACACAATTCACATCTACAAATGATCGAACATGGTATAGCATTATTCAAATAAGGCCTTATTTCATCACATGCATTCCTGATTCTGTCTATTAGCATATCTCTTGTGGTTACGGGAGTCTGGTACACTTTTTCTTTTAGAAATCCCCACACAAGGAAATCTAATGGATTTAGGTCAGGGGATCGTGGAGGCCAGGTGACTGGTCCTCCACGGCCGATCCATCTTTCTGGATAATTTTGGTCCAGCCAGTTTCTAACTATTCTCGAATAATGAGCTGGACAACCATCAAGCTGGAACTAGGCCAATCTTCTTAAATCTAACATAACATCATCCCACATATTTGCATGTTCAGCCTTTAAAAATTCCAAGAAGGTCGCAGCATTTAACCTTGCAGGCAAAAGGTAGGGTCCAAATAGTCGATTACGGTAGATACCAATCCACACGTTCACATTAAATTCATGCTGAAAATTTCTTTCCCGAACTGCATGCGGATTTTCATGCGACCAAATATGTTGGTTATGAAAATTTACCACTCCACGTCTAGTGAAGCATGACTCATCAGTCCATAAAACGTTACTTAAAAACTCCCTATTATTATCAGTTCTATCAAGAATCCACTGACAAAATGTGATTCTTCGTTCTCCGTCCCCTGGCTGTAGTCCTTGCACAGGTTGCAAATGGTAAGGACGTCTATGGTCATTTCTAAGAACACGGTGAACATGGCTTGCTGAAATTCCCAAGGCACCAGAAACTCTCCTAACACTTGTGGTCGGATCGCTATCAAACTCACGCAGCATCATACGGGTAAATCTGCGCTGACGAACATTTATGTTTTGATCCCTTTGGAGATTTCCAAAACCATTTTCAATTATTTGACAAATAACAATGCACTCTTACAAATACTGAGCGAGTTGGATGTCGTCTGTTTGGAAATCTTCGTGCGTATTCTCTGGCTGCTTCTGCTGCGTTTCCATTTACAAAGCCATACACAAAATGAATATCCGCTAACTCTTGATTGGAGAATAAAAATGGCATTTTTATAAAACTTACAAAAAAAAGAAAAGAAACTAAATTTCGTACATTCACAATTGCAAAAAAACGTTTCAGGTTTCAAGTTTCAACAGACAACAAAAGAACAAAACTATCTGTCAACTATTTGACGTTTAACCTTATTCTGCTTTCAATTTCAAAAATATTTGCAGGCACAGCCTACTTCTAAAAATTATCGAGATACTGACTTTTTAACGTTATTTTCTCACAAATAATTAAAAATGCATCGAACCTTAAAAATCGAAACATCTCAAAAACGGCGAACTATAACGAAAATTCAAAGGAGAGCTTTTTAGTTGTAAATATTTAATTTAATTTGTTAAAAATAATATTGGAAAATTAAACAAATTAATATTGTTTTTTTGTGTTTATTTGGAGTTAGGAATTATCGCTGTGTTTAAAAACACAATCTAAACGATCATCTTAATTACCTGTAATGCCCAAATCGAGAATGTAAAAAAATATTATTTTCCCATAAATAATTAAAAATGCATCGAACCTTAAAAATCGAAATATCTCAAAAACGGCTAACTACAACGAAAATTCACCAGAGAGCTTTTTTATGTTGAAAAGTGCGAAGAATCAGTTTTTTTATTCAAAAAGCAAAAAATTGCACTAAGAAAAATGTTTCGGTCATTTTAATACACTACAGGTACAGTAGAGTAGCGGCTACAGTAAAACTATGCCCATGGTTCGTTTTGTCGTACCAAAAAACCCTTGTATACCAATTTTCACTGTTATACATCAAATCTTGTTCGAAATATTTAAAAAAAAAACTATTTTAGAAAGTAAATTCAAACACCCTGTATTTCGGAAGCCACGCATTTTTCGACCCATGTTTATATAGACTTTATGCATTAATTTTAAAAGTTCTATCGAATCTTAAAGTTATGCAACAATAAACTGAAACACCCTGTATATAAAAAAATATATAAACTAAAAATCTAGTGATTTTTTATTCAATATAGTGATTTTTAGCAAAATTTCTAGTGATTTTTATTTTTTGAACCTGGCAACATTGTGTGGTTGTGGTAAGCGGTAAGTAAATAGTAAATTAGTAAATGACTGTGACATAAGTTTTACAAAAGAAAAAACTGGAATGAAAAGTATTTGTTAGCCAAAATTTGAGAATCGAGTTTATTCATACATCAAGGAACAAAACATAAAGGTATGTCTGTGGATATTAGCCATTTATTTCTCATGTAGGTTATGAGTTTAAAAAAAAGCAGAATGCAGTCTTATGTTGGTGAATTATTTTTCAGCTTTGCTTAAGTCAGAATGGAAGTGGATGATGAGTCCACAGCATATTTAAAATACCTTAATGATCCAACAGCATCTAGTAATTACCTACTCAGCAACAACATTGAACTGACCGATTCTTTCCCGTTATCAGAAATAGACAGTGCAGACTGGCCAAGTGAAACTTTTCCTGTTTTGTTGAGCACCTCGTTGATAACAGACAATACAAATGCTGAAGGTGTCAATGAGAACATTAATATTCAGTTGTTCAATGAAGAAGAGACTGTGATTCAGCAAAATGCTGCCAATAAAGAAATCATCCTTGGCAATGTGAATGCAGATGGCATAGATGCCAATTCTTCTAGCAGTCAGGGGCATATTCTGGTCCAGCAGTCCAATAGCCAGGTGCAAAACTCTGTACCAGTTACAGGAAATTTGATTAACAATGGGTTTTATGTAACACAAACAGGCAATGTAAATAAAAGAAAAAATGTGATTCAACTTTTGAATACAGATGGAAGTATTATAACTATAGATAAATCTGTTTTGAGTTCATTAAAGCTTTCATGGAAGACAGATCAACAATCATACATAAAGAAGGATTACGAGTCACATTATACTTCAATAATAGCACACAAATGTAAACTATGTAAGTGCTTTTGTGAGACTGATGAAGAGATTAGAAATCATTTGGATGAGGCACATTCTGAACTGGTAAGAGAGAATTTTAGAAATGAATATTGATGGCCTAGTGGCAATACCATTCATTATCAAAATTTCAAAAATTGCGTTTTTGATATCAATCGATCCATCTAGGACCAAGTTATCTAATCAAGCAATCACCAACAATTTATAGACATAGAACTGCTTTTTACATGACTATCTGTAATAAGACATATCTAATACCAGTAATGCTATTCTAGGTAGCAACAATGCTCAGTTTGTTTTTTGTGTCACAAGATTTTTCTATTTCTAGTCATTTTGGTCTATGTATACAGTACTTTGCTAGAGTTAAAGTCAGGTAAGTAATTCACAAATATTTTAAATGTCTCTTAAAATCAAAATATGTCACTAATTATTTATTATAAAAGTAAACACAAACAGCAATCTAAGGTTTGATCCGTTTTATCTTTAGTGACTCCACTGATATTAGAAAATGGTTTTGCATTTCCTGAAAAAGTGGCCAAATGTTTGATACATGGTTTTGCCACTAGACCATTGATTTATCAAATTTAAAAAATATATAATTAATATAGATTGAATTGGTTTTCTTGTAAAATAATTTTGCAAAATACATTTGGCAACTGCTTAGAGAACAAAAGTAGTGGCATGTTTGACATATAATAATAAAAAGTACCTTAAGCATGATCCTATCATTCAGTTTCAGAAAGACACATCTACTCCAAAACCAAATGGTCAGAATTCACTCTTGAAGTCCAAACATTCTCCTGATAAGAATTTGATATTTTTGTGCAGCTTGTGTAGGTTGGCATATAGGGATAAGACACTTTTGAGACAGCATATGATAAAGGTAAGATTTTCAAAACAAGCATTCCTCATGATAGTAATAATAATGATAATTTATTTATTTTAATACTATTGTGCTTACATGGATCAGAAAGCAATTACATATAATAGAGTACTAAAAACATAAATTAACAAAAATAAAAATATACAAAATAGATGAGTGAAAAATAAAGCAGTATAGATCTATAACATACCATAATCATAAAGAGTTGAAAAAAAAAATTGTTGAATGATCAAATACAATTGGTTTGCAAATATGGTACATCAGTCAAAAACAAAGCATAACAAAATAGATTGGCAATTGCAGGATAATGGGATCACTTAAGTAAAAATAAAACAATACAGATTTGTGAAAACAGAAAAAGCAGGTCAATATAATAAATATGATAAAATGTGCTTACAAATTCACAGAGAAACACTATTCATCAATTCTTCCAATGAAAAAAAACTTTTAAGAAGAAACATTTTAATTTTTTAAGGAAAATGTTAACATTCAATGATTTTACAGCTCATGGAAACTTATTAAAGAAATTTATTCCATGTTTTAGCCTCTGTACAGCTGATGGTGTTCTGCACATATATTGTTTTTGTTTCGAGTGTCATATATATGCATTTAACTATGGATGGTGTAGACAGTAACATTATTATTGATGTTTAAAAGGCAATTCAGGATATAGGTACATGGTGGAGTTATAATGTTTAATTTGACAAATTCGTCTTTATATGGATCTCATTGCTTTAGCCCAGATTTGTTAGGATTTCATTGCCAGCATGTGGGGGATTGTTCCCATATCAAAATATAAAATCCCATGTCATTTTTGAATGAAAGTATGCCACTAAAGTGTGAAGTTTTTGGAACATATTGTCCCTATCATGGACAAGTTCTGCCCAATATTTAACAATGTTCTGTAACATTTGTGTAGGGCTAAGAATTTTTTTACACATGACCTCTTCACTCTGTATAAGGGCCAGATAGTACTGTTCACATGCTTGTGGTGCCACCGCCCTGACTTCACTATTCAAGCTCGATGATGTTCAGAGAAGGGCTGTCCGACTGATCGACGATTCTCGTCTACCGGACAGTGTCAGGACCCTTTCGCACCGTGCCGTCTGCGATCGGGCTCTTTTCTACAGCTACGCCAACGGGCTTTGCTCCCCATCCTACCCGCGTCGAACTTTGTATATCCAGAACGGGCCGACATGAGACTGCTCTTTTGTCTCTATACTTACTAACCTTAGCGAGTTTAAAAATCGGATTAACAACGTTTCTTTAAGCTCCTCGTAGCAACCGTTGTGCCCTAGCATTCACGCTTCTGCCTGCGTGGCTGCTTCGGTATAAAGAAAAAAATGATAATCCCGATGTGAAAGCGATTTTAGCGATAATACAAATTTTTTGCCGATTTATCATCAACTCTTAAATTTCGTTATTCACATTTCGCATATCATTTAAATTATCATAAACAGTGTTCTCACCAGAGTTTCCCTCAGATGTACCTGATGGACTTTCTATTCTTCTTCGGGTCTTGAGTATTTTGGAAGTTGCACTGTCCTGCTACGCTTCTGCGCAGGTCAAGGATGGTAACTTCCTCCATTAACGTGATTTCCTCGTTAGATGCTCATTCGTCCCCAATTGGTTGAGGTGATCTCTTTAATTTGTCTTCCTCATCTTTGCCCTGGCAGTTGATTTTCTCAGTGACCGACTTGATTTCAGCAATTTGTTGAAACCATTTTCATGACTAGTTGTTAGTTTGATAATTTCCACCTCCATATAATCGATTTGTTTATTGTTTTCGTCTGTTATATTTTGAAGCGAAGTAATCGTCACTTCGTCCTGGTTAATTTCTTCCTGATATTTTTTTAAATATCCATTGCGTCATTTTCAAATTTTGAATATCTCCGTCTGACAAATTTCAATATATATATATTTTTTTTTTTCATCAACTTCGTCGTGAATATCTTTAATCATTTTTTTCATAGCGGTCATCTCTTTTTCTTCATCATCTTTTTAGATTCATTTTTCTTCCCCAGTATATCGTGTGTCTGTCAAGACGAAATCCTTTTTTCTCCCACTGCAGCTCTTGTGCAATATATGCTATGACACATCACACATACATAATTAGGAACCTCTCTCTTCTTACAACATTCATAATTCGATCCGCTGATTTTTTTTGCATCTTCGCTCACCTTGTCGCTCATATATGACGATGTGGAAACAGACAAAAAACGGACAGTAACTACCAGTAGGGCAGGGAAAGAATGTATATGGACTAATTGTATGGGCCTGTTTGACTGACATAATCCGTTTAATTTCGCTGTTCTACATGTTCCTCACTGACATTTTTCTCCGAGGATTTAAATTGCGCTGAACTGAACCCTTTACGAACTGAGGACGGCGTTGTGTAAGAAGTGACGCCACTTTTCAATATACGTTCTGGAGTAATAAAATGCGATCAAACTAAAAAATCTGGATAACACTCTCATATTTTCGAGGACTCCACATATAAAAACACGAGCAAAAGGGAGGATGTTAATCTCATCAAATATGTAATATTTTTCAGGAGCATCAGTTGATTCAGCATGATAATCAAACTAAAGTTGGTGAACAAGTTGTAACTAAGTCAAATGAGAATGGTAAATGTTCTTTGAGGAATCTTTCTGGTTTCTTAATCAAGCAACAAGAGAAGAATAGGAAAAAAGTGAAGTAGGTAACGCGATCGTATATGGAAGAGACCAACATTGACACACTTTTCAATTTTTTAACATTGTGCTCACCATCTCAAAATTCCCTGAACATACTGAATTTGTTTGTAGCAACAGAAGACAAATCTGGTTATATTGTCCCATGAGGTCCTTGACATTTAAAGGTTTCTCATGAGCAACATTTTAAAAACCTTCGCATATATGATCTGGATGAAATCTTGTACACTGGGTAAATCAGGTTATGAATTCAACATCAATTTGAAGCTAAGATTCACGAACTCTAGAACAACTCATTTTCTACTTAAAAATGGACCCCATGGCACTTTACAATTTTTTGAGATCTGGATCCGTTTCACCATCCAGTATTATCTAAATGTACAAAGTTTTATATGTTGATAACAACAGGAAATGAAATTTTACCCTACAAAGTGGATGTTTTGTAGATGTTCCATAAAAAAATGTCATGTGAGGGTAGGTAGTGATGAAATAAGGGAAAGGCATGAACAGTACCATGTTGGTAATAATGCGAGACAATTTAAGTGTTTGGAATGTGAGGAAAAATTTAGCATGTGGAGAGTATGCATGAATCACTTGTGGAAATGCCACAAGATTGACATTGGCATGTTGGTTTGCCCTATGTGCAACAAGTTCAAGTCAAATACCAGCAGTGAGTAATTATTTTTCTCAAATTTTGTATAACATGGTCATATCTTTATCAATATCTTTATCAATTTTGTTATTAGTCCAGGAAGTATATTTGCATCTGCTTGGAAACGTATATTAAATCGTTTTTTTGCATGATAGTATTCAAAAAGGACCCCTTTTGACAAATCTGCATGTTGAGCAAAGTTGCCTAAAAAATTCCAATATTGTTTCGCACTGGGAAAAGTTTTTTTTTAAATTTTTTGGGTCAGTCTGAACAAAAGGTTCTTATGAACTATGGGCGGCCACCAGCTACACCTCTCTCGCACTCAAGCATAATATAAAACAAAGGTTTACAACAACAATATCCCCTAATTTTCTTAATGGATGTTTGAAAAGTATTTAGAAACATAAAATTTTTAGTTTCTTCAATTATAGCATATCTCATACTTTTTCAAAGATTAAATCGCTTATATCTGGCAAACTATCAAATTTAGAGAAACAAGCGTTCGTAAGAACCTTTTTGTCCAGAATGATCAGAAAATTGTTAACACAATTTTGCACACATTTTTAGGCCTAGCAACATGCTGATTCGTTATCGAATATTTTTCGGAGCAGATGTGAACATACTCCCTGGACTATATTTAATTATGTTAATACTGTTTCAGTGAGAATGCTCAATCATATGGCAACTCATGATGATGAAAAACCATTTCTGTGTAGTGAATGTGGAAATGGTTTCAAGACATTGACTCAAGTGAAGAACCATGAGATTCTCCATAGGAAACCGGATGAGGAAGTGAGCCATTATAATTATTATTTTAGATCCATATTAACCTTCATAAACCCGTGGTCAAAAACTTACATCAAGTACCAAGTGGGGTGCAAATGTATCCCAACTTTTTTAGTGGCTTGTTTTTTTTCAATTTGTAACTAATCGATAATAAACGCACTGATTGAAGTATACAGGGTGACTTCGAAGTTGAGTCATTTATTTTAACAGTGAGTAGATCTGATCAAAAGAAATGTTTTTTTCCTTTACCATTTTTCTGGTAAAATTAAAGTAACAAAGTTATATCCCTTTGGAAGTTTGAGTACCGCCCTGTCTCAATAATAATATTATGTGCTCGTGTTTGGCGAAATAAATAATAATTCAATTGTCACACTTGTTACAAACTGATAAATTTTTTTAGTGTTCTGCACATACGTACTGATTCCACCGAATACAAAAGTTTCGAGATTTCGTGTCTTTACGTCTGCCGCATAAGAAACATCGCTTCCGTCTGCCAATAACGGAAACACGTTGTTCATTCCTTACAAGGTACACATTTTTAATCCGTACTTGTCCGGCTTACTCTTCATGTAAACTCGAAAAGAAGCCTTGCCTTGGAACGGAACTAACTGCTCATCCATGCACAACAAGTGTCCAGATGGATTTTTTACAAAACCATCAAAGACGTCTCTGATTCCGGCAAATTTATCAGTACATTTTTTCTTCTCTGGTTTCAAAATTGTCGAATCTTAGAAAGCACATAATCTGTTGGAATTTGTTACGAGACATAGTGGATGATACTATAAGTCGACATAAAATCGGCACGGGTATCACGTATCCTAAAAAGTGACATTATGCCGATTTTTTTGACTTTATGCTGGTTTTTTTGACATTATTTAGGTTACTGTACAAGATGTTAACTTAGCACTTAGTTGTCCGTGTTGCCTAAACGTCATGAGGCTTGTTATCAATCTTTGGCTCTGTTGTGATGTAAAATCTGCTTCTGAGATGGCATTACTGGAGGTCTAAGCTGTAAGTTGTATGTGTTGATGATAATTACATTGGGTTCTTGTCTCAAATACACTTAACTGAGATTCAAAATTAGTTGCGCATCCATTTTCTTTTCTGGAAATTACATATACAAATTTGCTGAATTATAAAAAAGAGATATAAGAAATAATTATATTCACTGTACACTGTCGAATTATAAGCTATATACATGCTAACAGTAATTACACACAACGCGGGCGCGGTGATGATTTCCCGTAATTCTCCTCAGTTTTTCGTAATTTATAACATTGAACATAACCTCTCTTCAGAGAGCACAACATATAAATAACCCGTTATATTCAGCATATTCAGTAATGATTTTCTCACACAGCAAATGTCACTGATTTTATACACATGCAGACCAATAAACATAATAATCTTACTATTCAACCAACTTTCTTCTCAGAGATAAATACTACAGACAAGGACCATTTGGCCTCACAAAACATATGCAACCAATAATGCGTAGTTTAGTTGAGTGATTCCTCCATAGACGTTCACAACGATCCTAGTGAGCAAGCGTGGAATGACTGTTTGCGTCCTAAAAACTACCTAGTCTGCAAGTTCACATCTTATGGGTTTTTTTGACGTTTTATAGGTTTTTTACATGATACCCGTGCGGTTCGATAATACACATATTGGCTCATTAGCAGCATTCCAGGCTCCAAAAATAATAAGCAAACCAATGAATACTTCAAGTTCTTCTTGCACAAAAGAAGAAAAGACCTTCCCATTCCTTGCATTACATTATTCGGCTTTTCTATTCATCTCGAATAAAATCACATTGATAATATCTTGTGAAAAAAAATATAGTTCAAAAGCTTCTTTTATGGAAATACTCTAATAAATTTAGCACCAGTTCTCTGCATTGATCGTATTTCCGGGCATTGTACAATTTTATATTGAAGATTGATAACAGGACATCTCAAATTGCACGCTGATGTCAAGTAAGTTGTCAATCTGACAAATATGATTGGAGGGCACTCATAAGTAACGACAACATTTTCTAGTCAGAGACACACAACTAAAAAACGTATGTCTTTGAGCTTACCGAACAAACGTTCACACACAGGAATAGATTGCATGTGTATGTATGACGGAGATGGAGATAGGTATATAACAGTGCCGGATGCTCCGCTGTTCGATTTTCGTTCGCCGGCGCGCATGACGTCACGCAGAGAGTTACTCATTTGGATTGATATGGATAACGTGCATATTTTCACCTTCAGGCCAAACGGCTGGACATATGAGGTGTCGTTGGATTTGTCTTAGCGGTGCGACTGACACTAGCTACATTACAATTTTATACAAAACAATATGGCGGATAATAAAAGATTTTGACCTTGTAATTCATATTTCATAGGCTACAGCTCAAACGGTTTGATGATAGATTTTCACATATGAGGTGTCGTTGGATTCGTCTTAGCGGTGCGAGTGACACAATCTGCATTAAAATTTTATACAAAACAAAATGGCGGATTTAAATAAAAGATTTCACTCGAAAAGTAGAAAAATGGAGTTATCATCTTTTTGCAGTAAGCTTGCGGTATAACAATAAATGGAAATGACTTAGTCTGAGCCACATTTCTTCTCCATTTCCTTTTACGATTTTTCTGGTTCTTCAAGCTTTTATTCAGTTCTTTGATCCGGAAGAACATCCTTGACCTGAAAAATAGTTTCTTAGCTTTTTCAGGGCAGTCAATGTTGCTGCTCTTCAACAGAAGCCTATAAAATTTTGCTTTTCTGTCACTATTCCGTCCCCGTTGAATGTATTAAACATCTTATTAAGCTTCTCAATTTGATTAAGGAAAGGTGTGGAAGATTTTGATAATCCACTCTCACTAAGATGGTCTATCCAGGAGTAAGTTTCATTTGAGGAACTTTTCAACTTCTCATCCTGCAATTTATGGCAAACAAAGCCGGCCAAATTTTTCAACAAATCATACTCGAGCTCATCTATTTCTTCCACTAAAACTTCCTCGTTATAGTCAGCTGCTGATACTTCAGGTGCATTCAGTTTATTCGTTAATGATGCGGTTAGTGAAATGTCCTCTACGCTGCAATACTCCGAGTATGCGCCTTCGTTTCGCCCCAAAATATATGACCTCATTCTATACTTAAACTCTAGGGGATAAGTTGAGCCCTGTGCCTTTTTTGTAAGCACTTTTCCGCTTTTCCCCATCAACAGATATAGATGGTTCAGGTGATGATAGAGACTTGGGTAAATTTTCCATAGGAATTGCATCATCTTTTAGAGCACGATATCTTTTAGGGGTGTAACCCAAAAGGGTATGTTTCAAATCGACCTTACAGGCACTGTCACTAAAGTGCTTCGAGCAAACCCTAGCGCTTTTTACATTGACTTCGATTTTTCTTTTTGTATGATGTAGCCATTTTTTGCTAAGGTTTGAGTCTTGAGGAAAACTGTGGAACTTCATGTCTTTGCAAGGATTCCGTTTAGATTGGTAGTCGGAATTACATCTCACAACAGCACACCGCATTTTTATCAATTTACTAACATCACAGGGAATATAAAGTATGTATATGTATAGCTGATACAAAAAGTCATAAACCCACCAAAAATCACCAACAAATCGCACTATATAGTATTAACCACGATACACGTGCACTGCAGTAACGACAATCCTGCCACTGGTAACCACGACCCGACAACTCTCTGGGTGACGTCACGAAGCTCCGCCCACATGGGCAAAATCCTATCTTCAGTGTATGTGTATCGTGGGTATATAAAGGGATACTGGTAGTCCTACCTTGACCCGCCAAGAACGGGGACTACAACTATACATCTGTAGAATCTTCCAACTCATTCTCACTATCACTAGCTTGCAAAACGTCATTTGCCTCATCAGCTTCAGTCACTATATATCAGTCTCTTCACCAATAGTTATCATCAGTTAGCTTATTTTCATTACGAAATTTTAGTGGTTAACTCACTTTTACAAGCGCGTAATCGACAATGACTAGAAACGGAAACTAAAATTATAATGCTTTAAACACTTACATATAGCCGTTTCGAATCTCCGAAAGTGTTGGCGTCAAGATACGGGAAATCCCATTCGTTTAACCATTTGGGGTGTATTTGTATCCCAGTTGGTTTTCAGAGTATGTGATATATATACCTGCCGTTAACTTCTTACAATAAATAGCAATTTCTTTAAACTTTTTTCTACTAAATTAGAAATATATTTAAGACACACACGTCGAAGGAAATTGAGTCGAAAAAAATATTTTAGTAAAACCCCATAAAATTGATGTCTGGGGTGCCACTGAACCACGCTCGAGTTTATGAAGGTTAAACATCATTATTTCAGCTCCCAAACTGGTACACGGCCAAGCATTGTACTATCTGCAATAAATATTTTGCACATTCCAAATCGTATAAGAAACATGTACAGTCAGTTCATGAGAAGTTTAAACCATTCATATGCAATATATGTGGCCACAAGACTGCTAGGAAGGCAATGCTAGAGGTAATATTATTTTTACAAGTTGAAATTCCCAGATGAACATTTGTCATTCCTTTTTTCAGTTGCATTTGAGGCAGCACACAGGTGAAAAGCCGTATAAGTGTTCGCACTGTGAATATAGAACCGGAGATCATAATTGCTTAAGGAAACATGAAATGAAACACATGGGGGTGAGTTTATGAAAAAATAATTCAAAATAGCAAATGCATTTCTGAAAAATTGAGGTAGAATATTTAAGCATTGTTGGCTTTTTGAATTTGTAGCACAAATAATAGATGACCTAAATTCTATTTAAAATTATGCAACAGAACATAGTCTCTGGTTGAATTCCTCTAAATCCAAAGTTATTTTTTTCTTTTAAAAATCTAAGGTCCCTAATTAAAAATAATTTGAGCATTACTTTAAATCGCCATGTTATTCAGATAGAAGAATCAGTTTAAAACTTCGGTTTGTTTATAGATGACAATCTCAAAATTTATTTCTCATATAAATAATGTACTTTTTTACGGCATCCGTACTTAAATAAAGAAATATTTGATTTAGGATTAAACATTGTATGTGAATCTTGATTAATATAAAAAATCCCATATAGTGGTTTAGTATACTATCCATTTCTAGATTCAGTTCAAAATTCATGTTGTACTCAAAAAAATATGATCTTGTAAGTTCATGTTTCAAACAGCTGTACTGGTTGAATGTGGCAAGTTGTATAGGTTTCATTTATTATGCTACGTTCAAAAACTCCTACATACTTCGCTTTCTTCATTTTTTAAAAATAAATTGATATATCGATATATTATCCATTCACAAAACATTTCATTCACTGACACCTTAACTATAACTGTTCATGCTTTAACCAAAATGCAATCAATCTATATAATGCATTACCATTGACTGCTAAACATCTTGATTTTAATAATTCCAAAAAGCAAATTAAACAAATTATCTTTGATGCTCCAATCTGAATTAACTCCCAGAATATTTCCACATATTTCTGCATATTATACGGGGTGGTCCATAAGTTCTTTGAAATTTCAAATTTGAATAAAATTTAACGGGTGAGCGTGAGCGGCGCGGGCGAGGTGGGGGCAATATCTTCAGTGTCTGGGAATTCAGTCGCCATGGAGTGTTTCACTGGAGCGGATCGTGCTTTTTGTGTGCGCGCGTTTTATCAAAATAATGATTCGGCAACCATTGCGCGGCGTACATATCGAGAATACCACAATTTTACAAAGTGTCCAACAGCTCAAACGATTAAGAACTGGGTTGCTAAGTTCGAAGAGACTGGTTCGACGTTAGATAAACAGCGGTGGGGTCGACCAAGGAGAACTCGTATTGAAGAAAACATCAACATTGTGGCACAGTCTGTTCGTCAAAATCCTACCCAGTCTACTCGTAAGCGTTCCAGTGCACTAAACGTACCCAGAACATCTTTACAGCGGATTTTAAGGAAAGATTTACGTCTGCACGCTTACAAAATTCAGTTAGTGCAGGAATTAAAAGATAATGACGCTATTCAGAGACTAAACTTTGCGAATGAAATGTTGAATCGATTTTCTTCGCTCAATAATGTGTTGTTCTCGGACGAGGCTCACTTCCATTTAAACGGGCATGTAAATAAACAAAATTGCCGTTATTGGAGCCCCGAAAATCCAAGGCGTAAGCATCAGAAGCCCTTACACAGCCCTAAAGTTACAGTTTGGGCTGCTATGTCAGTGCAGGGCATCGTAGGCCCTTATTCTTTTGAGGACGACAGAGGTCGCGCATTAACTGTTACTTCGGAGCGGTATGTAGCAATGATAGAAGAGTTTTTGACACCAGCGTTGCAGAATTTTCCAGGCTATAATACGCAGACCTGGTTTCAACAGGACGGAGCAACTGCCCACACCTCCAACACTTCTATGCCCGTCGTCTGTCAACTTTTTCCCAGCAAAGTAATTTCTCGAAGAGGAGACATTTCCTGGCCACCACGCAGTCCAGACTTGACCCGGATGGACTTCTTTTTATGGGGCTACCTCAAGAGTAAAGTGTACGACACCACTCCGAGATTAGTTGATGTCCTGAAAGAAAATATCCGAAGAGAAATGGCAAGCATTACAGTGTTGACTTGCCGCGCAGTCATCGACAATTTTAGACGTCGTTTATATGAGTGCCGTGATCGTAATGGATTGCATTTAGACGATGTGATTTTTAAAACATAATTCCCATTCAATAAAGATGATAACAAAATATAATAATTCTTCATAATGTAACTAGTTTGGTTTTATTCCTTTTTTTCCAGCTCAAAGGACTTATGGGCCACCCTGTATAAATATTTTATAGTATTTGTACACTCATATGTACAATGTATTTAATTTTTAAGTTTCATTTAAATTTTGTTAAAATTGTTTTCAATATTGTAGTGCTCGTTTTTTAAGGGTTAAGGAGTGAAATAGCTTGCAGCTGCAGTTCGCTTTAAATAAAAGTTTATTATTATTAACATCTCCATTTTTATATTTTTTCAGCTAGTGAAATATAAATGTCCACTCTGTAACTACACATCTATTCAGAGTGGATCATATAAAAATCACATGAAAACTCGACATCCTGGAAAGAGTGCTGTATATGCCTGTACTTCCTGCAACTTCCAGTGCATAAATTTCGAAAGTTATGCAGCGCATCTACGGCGACACAAAATCGTTATAGAAAAGACTGGTATGCTCGATAGTCTTGCTTCAAAAATCATCTTTTGCTATAATTGATATTAAAAAAATCAAGACTTAAAAAATTATTTTGCTTTTTAGTTGATAACGATCAAGGAGAGATAAATGAACAGAATCCTGATGAACCGTCAGAAATGGTAATGTTACCAATTTTTCTGAGATTGTGTGGGGACTTGTGACATAATATATTTGTTTTCAGGCTGACAATGAAGATGATGAGACACAAAACTGTATATTTAGTAATGAAGCTCCAGTGGAAGAAACTGTCGATACTGGTGGCATCACTATACCTGCAGAAGTGGAGATTCCTACAACCATTGCTATAACTTAACTGTAATAAAATGGACTTTTATCATGAAGATAACTAACTCAGTACTATATTCGCGCTACCAAAAAATTATCCGGAATAATCAGGAATCTGATTTGAAAAGGATGGTGTCTCATAGATGATGCTGTAGCCAACTATACAGTGCTTTTCTTTAATGTCCCCCTCCCCTTCGATTTTTTGAACGGATGAATTCAAAAAATTAAAACTTGAAGTAATGAAATTGATGGGTAGATAGCATATTTTAGAGTAAAATTGACAGATGAAAATGTCAAGATGGCCGCTGGGCGTAATAACAGACGGTCCATAATTTCGCGTCGAACATTTTCAAACATAGTAGCATCGATATTTCTACAAATATTTGTTATTCTCAGCGGTATATCCAATATTGAAAAAAAGATCAAAATTAATAACAATGAACTGGAACAGGTAAATGTCTATAAATATCTTGGAGTTATGATACAGCGTGAAGGCAGTATGGAAGCTGAATTAAGTGAAAGAATTAATAAAGCTGTAAAGACATATCATACAATGAGCAAAGTCTTCCTTAGAAACAAGAAAATTAGTAGGAAATCAAAGATGATGGTTTACAAGACCATATTTATACCAACATTAATTTATGGTAGCGAAGGTTGGGTGCTAACAAACAGATTAAAGAGCAAGATTCAGGCAGTAGATATGAAATTTTTTAGGAAAGTCACAAGAATAACTAGAAGAGACAAAATCAGAAATGATATAGTAAGGGCAGAACTGGGAGTAGAATCAATCTCGCATAGAGTTGAAGTACAACAATTAAGATGGTTTGGACACCTGAACCGCATGAAGGAAAGTAGACCAGCTAAACGGGTGTGGGAAGCAAGAGTTCAAAGAAAAGGAATACGAGAAAGAAATGGAACGATGAGGTGGTAGTGGCACTGGCACATAGGGGACTAAACTGGAAAGATGCAGTGAAGCTAACAAAAAGCAGTGGGCTGCAATGATATATTCAACACAAGTTTGAGCGGGAAGTAGATTTATATTATACTATTTTATACACCTCACACCTTTGGGTAGATAGGATTTTGATTATATATACATTATATACATATATCCAATATTGAAGCAGGTTCAGTTTCATACACCTTTTGCTTCAAATAGACCCATAACAAAAGTCTAAAGGTGTCAAATCTGGCGAGCGAGCTGGCCATTCCACAGGACCTCGATGGCCAATCCAACGACCGGGGAAATTATCTAAATAATTCCGAACTTGTCTGTAGTAGCGTGGTGGAGCACCATCTTGCTAGAATATAATATCAGTATCGAATTCATTAGGATTCGCTTCGACGATTTCGGTGATTAGAGGGTCAATAGTATTTTCCAGCATATCCAAATACAGTTCCCTGGTTAAAGTTTGTTCGATGAATAGAGGCCCCGCAATATGATTTCCAATATCCCAGCCAGATATTGAGTATGAGTTTCCCGGAAGACGTGAGGATTGGTGTCACTCCAATAACTACAATTTTGTCTATGCACATTATTGTTGGGAAAAAATGTACATTCATCACTAAAATAAATATTTTGGATATAGGTAGGATACAGTAGAAGGACAAACCTTACATACACTTGCGATGGAGGAAGTAGACTGTTGGGGATTTACTATGATCTCACCAATTATTTGAAGTTGCTTGTCTTCTGGGATGGTCGGATGACCTATGGGCTTTTTGTTGTTCACACTACCAGTAGCTGTAAATTTAGATACAAGTTCCCTTAAATATTTTCTACAGATAGGACGATTCGGGAAACGATCATTAAAAATCCATTCGGTCTCGTGAAAGTTACGCGTCGCACCATAAATAAAAATTGCTTCGATTTTTTCTTCCAATGGACGAGAATTGACCATTATAAAAATAGTTCAAACAGTATCTAACACTAAAACCGAAAACTAAATAAGAAAATTTTAACTGTACTGATATTCTTGTCACTGTCAACCAAAAATAACAAAACAAGTTTTTATTGCTGTTGCTGTGGATAAGGCAGGGAATTAAAATTATTTGTAAACATATGCATGTTAGTGGGTTTGTGTTCAAGTAATTATTAAATGTACCACCATTTTGTAGTAGGTAAAGGTATTGACTTTATATTTTACGGTTATAAAGTACTCGTCAGGAGCTTCAAAATGATGTGCCACAAGACCCCCGTTTTAATAATTTTTTTCCAAGATGGCGTCCAGCGGCCATCTTGAGATTTCCATCTGTCAATTTTACTCTAAAATATGGTATCCACGCATCAATTTCATTACCTCGAGTTTCAATTTTTAGAATTGACCCGTTCAAAAAATCAAAGGGGAGGGGAAGATCAAAGAAAAGCACTGTATAAGAACTTATAGCTAGAGCGTCATCCATGAGACACGAACCTTTTCAAACCAGACTTCTAATTATTGCAGAGAGGAGAAAGATGGCTATGACAAATTCTCATAGATGATGTTACAGTATCCCAATTCATCTCCGATTCTTTTTTTCGGGCACGCGAGCTAAAAGTATTGGATTGGGTATTTTTAGGTGGAATACGTTAAGGAATGCTTTTATAGTGATGTTGCTATGACTGCATTTTGTGATATTTAGCTCTGCCATGTTGTTATCCTAGGCTATTTTTTTTTGATAGTTACCATCAACTTTACTGTTAATAGTTGAATTTTATAAACACTTCATTATTTGTTGATATATTATTTTATTAAACTTACATTTACAAAAACAAAATTTTAATCTATCTCCATCGTTTCTCTTCTCTTTTTTGCCTCCATTTCTTTCAGCTGTTCCAAAGTAAGAAGGGAAACACCTAGTTGATCCTCTCTTGTGAAGGGTTGTGCCATTTGCCTTAACCATCGTTTAGCGAGCTGCAAAAAAAAAACAAGTTGCAAGGGATAGGAATAGGGATATATTTCATATTTTATGATTGTGAAAAAGGCAAATAGCTTAAGGATTTAACCCGTGGTGTTACAATTCAAGGCTTTCGTTCTGAATAATTTAAAGGTAACACTTTTTACCACGATCGATTTTAGGAATCTATCTCCGGAAGGGCGCAGCGTTGGCTGTGGCTGCATGCTCAATCACTTAAAAGCAATTGCCCTTGTGACAACTGAAGAGCGGGGGTGGGTACGTCTCACAATTCAAGTCTAGCAAGACAATTTTATATCGAGCTACAGCAATATCCCAGAAGTCGATGTCAAAAAATAGGGACTATAGGCGAAGGGCAGATCTACAACATACCAAAAAATGACGCTAGTAAAAGTTTCACTGTTTTTGATATATTCATTTTTTTGTCTCTCTTTTTTTAATCTATCTCCGTGCCTAGAAATAACAGGATATCTGTTTGTTTTTTTTTGCAAAATATTCTCAGATTGTTGGTCTGCCATTTGAAATATCATTTTTGACAAATTCAAGTAGGTAAACTTGACAAACTAATTTCTTTATCTTAATTTTTATTTTAGAAAACTAATTTACTTAACTTTGGTATTCAGCAATGAAATGAAAATGTACTAGACTGCTACTGCAAAGAACTGCGATAAATTACCTGCTTAATCAGCAACAAAAGATAGAAAAACAAGGAAATTATTCGAAAAAGACAAAAAGTTAATATCTCAAAAACAACGAAACTTTTACTAGGGTCATTTTTTTGGTATGTTTAAGATCTGCCTTTCGCCTATTTTCCCCATTTTTTTGTCGAACTATTTACTGTACCCGCCAAATCTTGCGAAAGAACGAGGTCCACCCGTACGAGGAACAGCGAGTACAATCTCTTATAACTCCGGGATTATCGTCCAAGAGTTGATTTTGTCAAATAATGTTACAGAGACACCGGGAAGATCCCCGATTTTTAGAGAAAGTTCTATGGACTGATGAGTTGACATTTAAAAAAGATGGGTACATACACTAGTGGCATGTAGAAAATTCACATTTGATGGCAGATCACAATATTGAATATGTGGACCGGGATTCCAAATAGGAGAATCATTGTACCCTTTGACCTGCCAGAGTTCTTTAATAAATTTGTTTAGATTTTTTACAAAATCATCTACCAAATTTATTGGTAGCATTTACAGAGACATGTGATAACACCAAGACGGCTGCCTGGTGCACTATGCCCATTCAGTTAGAGAATATTTTGATGCAGAATACCAGAGCAGATGGATAGGGCGGTCTGGTACAATTTCGTGACCAGCCCGTTATGGGCCAGAATAACGGAAGCAGCTGAATTCGTTAATAACTGAAGATTTGCCCCGATCATGTTTAAGATGTCAAGCTTGCATTGCTGCTTACGGAACGTAGCTTGAACATTTATTGTGAATCTAATAAATACAGTCAAGAATTTATAAGTGGCGTTACTGTCACTACGTATAATGACACTGTCCATCACTCCATCGAAAGAACAAATTTGTAGTAATTGGAATTAAAGATCATCACTGGGTGTAGATTTTTTAAGCCTATAATTTGAAAAGTACACGTCATAGATTTTTATATATTTTTCTGATAACTATTATGACTTGGCCTATCGTTTCCGGTTTGTTACGTCGACTTCTGGGACTATACCACTTTCCCGAAAAAAAAAAAAAAAATACTTGGGCGTCTCGCCTCCTATAAATACGTAAATTCGCTCTTGTCTTTTGACTGTACTAAAGGATGCTAAAACTTGGCCGTACCTTTACTGCTTCCTCTGTGGATAAATTACAATAAGAGTCTCTTAAATGTTCTTGAATCCATTTTGGTAGCTTCGATCTTTTGTCTGCTTTTGAAAAACGCTTATCAGCAAATATCATGATACCATAATCTGTCTTTCCTCTGATAGCTCGCCCCACACACTGAGCAGCATGTCTCATAGCGTCAAATGTCAAAAAGTCGTTTTCCCTAATCTGTCAAAATAAAAATTGTTTAAAATTGGGATATTTTAATGGATGCTAGTATTATTTATTACCTGAAACTGATCTCGCAAGTAGTCTAACCTAGCCTTTAGGATACTGGACTGTGTGTATACATATGGTATACCAAACATGAAAACTGCTCTTCCTAAATGGTGGTCAAAATCTACACCTTCGGATACTTTACCTCTTGCTACAGAAAGTAATACTGCTCCTCTACCAGCTTCACAAGCCTGAGAATATGTACACACATATATGCATTTGTAACCTACCCTACCGAAGTTGTCAAAAAAATGTTAAATTTTGAATCCTACCTTCATATAATACATTAGGGCAAAACTTGTCTCTGCCGAATCTTGTGTTTCAATAAATAATAATTTGTACTTCTGTAGGTTATCAATAACTCCTTGATCATACCAACTAGCTACAACTGATTCTAGGTACAAGTATGAAGTGAAAAAACAGACTATGCCATCGGGTACATTTGCTGCCATCTGCAATAGAACTCGGGTCAGAATAAAAAATGACAATGGATCTTACAACACCGATTGCAGTGTTTCTTGAACAATTACACAAAGAGGTCTAGAAAACTCTAGGGCAATGTATATTTTTGCAAATGCAAATATTCTCATACTCTAAAACTTACGTCAACTAACAGCTGACCATAATTTCTTATTACAGCATTATCATCCCTAGTTTCAAATTTTGATGAAATCGCCACCTGATCATTTCCTTTAGATACAATCTGCAAAATAAGTAATTTGAATGGTACAAAACTTGAAGGAATTTAAATATTTACCATTGGAAGCAAGCATGGTCTTGCAAGAGTCATCGTCAACGATGACATTATCACAGGATGAAAATTCAAAATTTTTGGATACATATCAAGTGGTGACAGAGTACCCGATGTTATTACCACGCTTTGGAATCTATCAAACACTGGTTTGATTGCTATAGATGAATCCAAACAACTAAAAAATAATAAGGAATTATTTTTTCATATGAAAACGTAATAATATATAATAATTATGTGTATTTAGATTTCATTTGGAATGAAACATTTATGAGTTTTGTGATTAGGTGCACTTGAAGTGTGTATACATTATACAACTTACCAAAAATGTAGTATAGGATTTGAAACAGTTGGAGTTTTATCATCAAACGGCTCTACAATTATAGTAAACCCTTTCGTATATGTAGACACCAATGTTGCTAAATGGGTAATCAAAACTATAGGACTAAAATCTGTCAGATCTGAAATTTCTAAAGTCCTCAACAGTGACGCTAATCTCTCTGCACAGAACCGCAGTGGTTTTCTTTCGATGCAGACTTTAGCTTGGACATCTTTTAGGAACCCAACAGGCGATTCCTGAACTAAATGCTGAACACGCAGTCTTGTCTTGAGGTACTCCACAAATCTTTTGAGGAAGCTGATAAAGTGCTGCGCGTTTCGGATATTCCCAGGCACTGGTTCTTGTAAAATTTCCTCTGGGAGTACTGGGTTTGAGAGTATCACGTCTGTTTCACGAGCTGCTGAAGCATCTCTTAAACCTTCAACAAGTCTCTGGTATTCACTTTGAATCTTCCTGTTGTCATCTTCCATCATTCTAAAAATTCGTTTTGGAGATTCAAGAAAATATCACAGTACACAGTACGGCACAGGAAAACTCCTATCTTCTCAAGCTGTGACATCAGCTCAAAAATGAATAATTTGATTGGAAATGCAGATCTGTTAAAGAAACAAAAATAATCGAAAATTTTCCTAAAATTGTTAGGGACTCAAATATGTCTGAAACTCATTGTCTTCAAAAGAAGCAAATGTGTTAATGCCCAGTGAGGTTTTCTTAAATCTAAAACCACAGTAAGGGAAGTACAGAGTCAATCCCCGCGACTTTATTGTATAAAATTGTTACTTCATTTTCAAATGCGTTAAATACTTACTCTGCAACAGTTTTTTCTAGAAGAGTTATATTAGCTGTGGCTTTTTCTATGGTCTTTCTATGAATCTTCACACTCATAGAATCAATGCAGACATTGTCAATATTGTGTGCCTCATCAAAAACTACCACAGCCTCTTTTGTCAGTTCTTTGGACACCACATCAGCAATTTTTGGATCTAACAAATAGTGGTAGCTGTACACCACAATATTGGCATATGTAATCTGAAATATCACATCAATGCAAAAGCTGAGAGAATATATTGTCTGTTTTATTCATTCATGTAACAAAATTCACATATTTTATCCACATTCAACAAAAAATGCACAAGTATCTCTCTTTGTCATTTTCTGAAATAACTAAAAACACTAATGTAACATACCAAAGTTTGAACTGATGAAGTATCAAGTAAAAACCATGATTTTCATTTAAACATGATATACACAGGTCAGGTAATTTTTAAACTCACTGGACAGTGCATCAAAAAGCAAGTGATGTTAAGTTTCACAGTGAAGCACTTACAATTAGTCACTTTAAAAACCACTCAAGTCATATTACATGACATGACATGTTAATAAGTGAATGCCCAAGTGTAATTTTGGATATTAAGTAATACCAAATGTGAATGCAAATGACAGATTCCATTCTTTTAGATGTATGTATGTCTTATAATAGGATGCAAAATACCATTGTTGTCTTTCTGATCAAGTCAGAATGTCCAGTTATTAATTTTCCTAAACTGTATAGAGTCTAATACAGGGTGGGCCATAATAAAATTCACTTTTGGAAAAAATGTAAATGAAAGAGTTTGCTAATTTTTATGATATAAAGGGACATTGGCATTTATGTTTTGAAAATATCATCAAGATGGCCTCCAGCTCTCCAAGAACACTCTTCCAAACTATCGAACACTCGCCTGCAAGTTGCCTTTATAACGTTTTCGATCGCGCTCGATCGATCGGTTCTTCATTTTCTCTTGAGATTGCTGCCATTTGCTTTGCTTTAATTTGTTGAAACTTTAGCATTGTAGGCTCTGTTTTTGAGATATCCCCATAAAAAGATATCGGATGGAGGCAACTCAACCCAACTTTGTGGTGACCAATCAATGTCACCTTCCCTTGATATCACTTTTTCCGGGAACATTTTCTGTACGTCGCCCATGATCACGTTGGACGTGTTACAGGTGGCACCATCCTGTTGAAACCACATCGTGCAGTTGTATCCATCAAAATTTTGGAGCTTAAGGGCCAAAAACTCTTTCAGCATTCGAACATAATCTGAATTAATAGTTCCAGACTGCCCGCGATCGTCCGAAGTGGGCCCAATCAAACCGCGAGCTGATATTGCTGCCACAACTGGGACTTTTTGGCAATGAACTTGTTTTTTATGCTTCAGCGATGGCTGCTCCACACTCCTGTATCCACAGTTTTGCTTGTTCACAAAACCGTTAAAATGAAAGTGAGTAAGTGAGCCTCGTCTGAAAAAAGGATGTTCCGTAAATCACAAAAACCCCTCCAGCACTAACACTGAAGATTCTAATCTCTTTATAAGGTCAGTGTCCTTCAATTCTTGGATGATTTGAATCTTATATGGATGAAGCCACACTCAACATTCGTCTTAAACTCGTAGGAGCAATACTCATAGTCGCTGAACGTCTACAAGTTGCGAGCTCTGGATTGACTTGATCAGATTAACTCACTTCCTCTATTCTTTGATCAGTACTTCCAGTCGGCAGGCGACCTTGACGTCTTGTTGGCAATGTCGAACCGATTTCCTGAAACCTCCTCAACCATTGCTTCATTAAATTAGTGCTAGGGCACTGATGAATATGCCACATATTTGACTCAAAATAAACGTTGCACAGTGACAACAATTATTCTCAGACTGCTTGCAACCATCAAGGCACGCTATTACCCTGTGAATTGACTGAGGGCTACTGAAGATGCATGAATCATACAATCGAACAGTACCACCATCCAGGATTTTGCAGTTTTATTTATAAAACAAAAGTTAGTTTTATTATGGCTCACCTTGAATATTCAATAGTTAATATATCTTTATACTCACAGTATATCTGGCTAAGAAGTACGGACACCAATTTTTATTCCTTCCAAACTCTTTCAGATCATCAATACTATACACTCCATATGGTAATGTATTTTCTTTACCATCCAACTCAAAACCTTCATAATACTGACAAATAGGTACTGTATCATCATAATTATGCCTATCTCTAACATAACTTGCTGTAAGTGCATGACATTTTGCATCTACTATTTTTCCTTCTCTTTCTCTGCTTACCTGGGAAATGAAAATGCATGTAACAGAAAAATAAATATATTTACATTAGTTACTATTTACAGGAAAACAACTAATCAAGTCTTATCGCAAAAGAAGCACCACAAGAACAGCCTTGCTCTGCCAAAGGATTGTTGACAATTTTAAAGGCAGATCGTATTAACTCTTCTTGATAGTCCACTGTACATCCCTTGATGTATTCCAAAGAAGTTGGATCAACAACAACTTTAACACCATCCTGTTCAAACACCTTATCGTCGTCTTCTAGTTTAGAACCCAAGTCAAATTTATATTGGAACCCTGAGCATCCACCCCCTTCTACTGATACCCTTAGGAAATCTTGCGTTCCTTTTGTGATCTTCTTCAAGCGTTCTACACATCCAGGGGTAATTTTTATCTCTGATTTTACATTTTCCAATGGCTTAATATTAGGGTTTGTATTTAGAAGTGCTTTTATGCTATCTACAGGTAATCGTTTAGAACGCATTTTCAATATAAGAGGACGACAAAACATTGTGACTACACACAAAAATTTACCAAGATCTTTATCAAGAAATTGAAAAATTAAGTCCAAAATATTTGCTAAAACTTATTTTTCTTAGGTTATGTTTTCGTATTTGACGTTTTGCGAACTGGGCTTGGGAACAGTTTCTAGTATGAACTATTATTCGCTACATGGCGCCACCATGATTTTGGGAATGAATCACCACACGTACGGTCTAATCAAGTTTATCTATTATCCGCTAGGTAGCACCACTATAATTTTTGAACAAGGTGGACACCTTAATTTAATTTCATTTCTTGGGAAGAATATCAAAAGCTTACCTCTGGATGTATACAAAGATTTTTTCGCGACGTCAGCACAATGCCTGTTAAATGAGGATGCAGCCCATCCTGTTTTTCATAATAGTTTAAAAGGGTTCTCAGTTCCTCCATTACTTTTTCAATTTCTGGTACTGTTCTCGAACAATATATGAGTTTTCTAACATCATCAGGATTTTCTTTCATATAAGCAACTATGAGAGATAACAATGTTGTCGTTTTGCCAGTTCCTGAAGGCATCTCAAGAAGACAGTGTCCCTATAAAGGAGATCCACCATAGAAATAAGACAAATAACTTCTAAGCCCTCGTTAAGGTACATACCTTGGCATCTAGAGCTTTTTTCAGCTCGCACATATATGAATACTGTTCTGGGTATATATATTCATAAGGGAAATACACTGTTAAACCGTCTATGTTCAACCTGCAATAATAGACATAACTTATTATTCAGCTTTTAAAAAGCTGATCCTAATTACCTCATTTTTGCCGATGAAACGACTGTTCACTTGTCAATATCAGTATGAGTTCAATATGTCTATTTATTGATATATGGAATAGTTTATTATCTTTCAAGTTCCAGTTTTCCGGTGAATGTTTTGAAACGATTTAAATTTGAGGTTAAAATGTGTGACAGAAACAGACGACATCCAAAATTTGGTCAACAGAGAAAACTGTAACCGGCTGTAACCTTCGTAAGCTTTATATTTTCCAGGATAGATGGCACCATCAAGTAAGTCTTTATTGACATCAATGGGATAAAAACAAAAATAAGAAAAATATAAAAAGGAATCTAACATTTATCTCATAAATAAAGCCATACAATACAACGCTTCTGCCATCTTTTGAATTTAATGTTAAGGAAAGAGTCAGGTTCCTTGGTATAATAAGCAAATTATTACATACAACGTAAATTAGGAATTCATTTTTTAGAATAGATGGCGCGTCATAGTTTTTGAGTTTTGGCTTATTGCCAAAGTGCTGCCTTCCGATTTTTCCAGAGTACGTTGGAAGAGTACATTTCTGATTGTAGTAAGAAGCAAGAATTTTATTTATTATAGCATTCTAGTTGATGGATGGTGGAATGCGGGAGGACTATTATAATAATGACAGTACCACCGCGCGAGTTCCAGTACCGACTCCGAACAGTTTAAAATTAATACAGGTACCACTTTTGGTAGGTGGGGCGTCCGTACAAATTGAACTCGCCACCCGCTGTTTGACAAACCTTTTAAAATTACTCTTATAGATACACGTTGGAGAACATATAGACAGAGTCAGGGGAGGAACTAGGGAATGGCGTCAGGGCAACGGCCCTTCAATTTTTCTATACTGAAGCATCCTCGAAGCCAGAGAGTCTGAATATTGCAGTTTCACGATTGCTATTAGTCGTGGCAGATATTTCACGAATAACTGTGATTTAGTAACTGATATTGGTAAATGACGAATCACGACTGTTACCGAATACCGTGAAAGACAGTGACAGTGACCTGATCACGACTTGCAGAACTACCTCCTTACGGCAACGGCGAATGATATCACAGGATCGCGGAGCTAATGTTTGAATGTGCGTAAGATACGCATACGCGTTAACCGCTAAAATCGAAAATCGTATACCACCGCCGGATTACCACAGGGCCTGCAAACGATGTCGTGCCTTATAGGTTTTGGTAGCTCCAGCCTTGCGATTTTATCTCCGTATTTTGTTTAGAATATGTATAACCCCTCTTATACATTTATAGATTATTATGAGTTCGTCGCTATTCAGTTAGCTGCCCAAATTACAAATTAGCACGTGTAAAATCAATTATGCATCTTGGTCAAGCTTTACTAAAAATACCATTTTGTGTACGTCACTAGTCACGTTACAATAATACCACACACAACACTTTGAACAAATATTGAACGATGTTAGACATAACTATGCCTTTCCATCTCACTGGACCTGCACAGGGAATTCGCCCCCTACGACGAATCAGCGGAATTCACCTATCGTTACTCATCGAAACTCAAAAGTCACGATCTCTTCACGCTTTTAAACACTGATATCGAGAAGTAAAGGTATCAGATATCAGAGATATTGAAAAACAACGATATCTGCCACCTCTAGTTGCTATTTAAAAGTCAAAGAAGAACTGCTAAAGCGAGTAATATGAAAAGCTTTAAGTTGAGATTTCAAGAAAGCCTCTTCTGGTAGATATTCTAGAAATAAAGAGCGGTCATACCGGTCAGTTTCTCCTATTATTAGGTTTGAATGATAACCAGAAGCTGATAGGATAGGTCTAACAAGCCTAAGATAAGACGTAGTGGTATCGTGAGGGAAAACTGGGAGGTACCGACAAACGTAAAAAAAAAATAGTGACAAATGTCGACTCGCCCTGAAGGGGGGGGGGGGGTCATAACCTCCATGATCCCCCTTAGATTCGGCCTTGTTAGCACATCGGTGGTGTGAGAGAGGTTTGAGATTCTGGACGTTCTGTTAAGGAATTTACATCAAATTCTAGGTCAAATATTTCGTGCACTGAAGAACGCTACTCGCTGTTCAGCTATAGCACCCCATATAAAAGTTCATTTATATGAAATTGGATTCTGGTATCTCTTTGGTTGTCTTTAGGACTTTTCATTCAGCACGCCTATGGGCACACTAAGAGTTTAAGTCGTTCTGCATACAGAGGAGTGTATGATTAATGCCATATTTAAGGCACTTACAAGGCACACTATTGACTTTTAAATGAACATGTTCCCTTACTATTAAACGAACTATACAGACGAGAAATTATACTTTTGTAGTTGTATTAATTTATTAATTTTGGATTGTTCATGTAGACACATAACAGCCGTAACACTCATTTGTTTCGAAACACTATTGGTTATGACTTGCTTTTTAACAGGAATTATGTTTTAATATAATGTTAACAACAAAAGTGTATCCCAATTTAGATTGTAATAATCAACAGGGAAAGAAACTCACAAAAGTCAGCAAGGACGGATCTAAGATAACGCACACGACACACTGTGCGTCGGGCCCCGGGACTCAAGGGGGGGTATGCACAAGTACATGTTTTGTACTTAATTTTTGTACACCAAAGCAGCCGCGCGGGATGTTTGAAGTGCCCAAGGTTAGTAGAACTGAGAAAAGCCTCCTCACGCAGATTGTTCCACAATCTCGATACCTTAGGGACAAAGGAGCGGTCGTATTGACCAGTTCTGGATGTACGAAGTTGAAAACGGTTAGGATCTAAGGCTGAAGTCAGGTAGGTCTGCCTGGCAGGCACATCGTGCGGCAGCATCGTGGAGGAGAGTTCTGAGGAGTAAAGAATGTTGGCGTAGCGATAGAAGAGAGCTAAATCTACGGCGGCCCGGCGGTGCGAAAGGGCCCTGAGACAGCTCGTTAGAGAAGAGTCATCGATCTGTCAGACAGCCCTCCCCTGAACAGCATGGAAATTGAACAATGTAGTACCCCAAACATGTGAGTAGCACTCGAGGTCTTATTTGGGCCATGTGGAGAAACGTACGTCTTAGCCTTAATCCATTAACCTAGTTTTTTCTCAACAGATGCCGCTATTGACGAAATGTGTTCGTGCCAAACCATGTCCTTGGTGATTTGGACCAGGCGAAATGAATGGTTCTTTGATAAAAAAAGGTTAGATACTTTAGATCGACCTCATCGGCTTGCACGCTCATTAGAAGCTACTTAACTGATCGCTCATGGTCTGTCATATATAAAATATTATATATGTCATCTGCTTTATTCAGAAATTTTGGTGTCCCTTAAGGATCTATTTTGAGACTCCCTTTATTTGTTCTTTATATATGCGATTTTTATGAAACCGCCAACTAATCAGTCGTTCCTCATTAGGCCGATGATATCTACTCAACTTTATAACAACTTCGATCCTGATGAGTATATGCTTGGACCGCATCAAATAAATCTGCGGTCTACTTTTGATATGTCTTGTGCTCACAATCTAAAACTGAATGCTGGCAAATCTACATTTTAGTTGTTCTCAAAAAAGAATCGTGAAATAAATCAAGAGCGAATTAATATTACGGTGAACAATGAAGACATATCGTGTGTAAATCAGTGCACAAACCTTGGTTTCTGGTTTGCTATGCAATGCGGCCTATGTGCTTCGTCAGTTATACCCGAATCGAAGTGTCCTGTCAATACAGCTCAAGCTTAAAATCTGCAAATCCCTAATCCTGCCAAAATTGTCTTAGGGTGACCCTGTTTCTAGACCTCCTCTCCTACAACGTTATACCGATCGGATCCAGATGATACAAAACTCATGCATCAGATTTCCTTATGGAATCCATAAATTTGATCATGTTAGTGGGGCTTTTGGGCAATTGGGTTGGTTTAAGATAAACAAATTGAGGAAACTATCTCTGGTATATAAGTCCCTTTGTCTTAAAGCGCCATATCACCTGTATATAAAGCATCCCTCCTCTGTCAGTACGATCAAAGATCCTCTAGGAATAAACGCGTCTCACTCATCCCGCGGCATTCGACAGAATTGTTCACACGTAGTTTCTCATACTGGGCACCCAAACTATTATAAGTGCTTGTCAACTGAGTATAAAGAATCTAGTTTAAGCAACTTTAAAAAAGGTTAAAGATGACGTTGAAGCAATCGGATGGCTTGAATTTAACTTTACGAATATCCTCAAGTGTAATATTTTAGGTTTTTCTTTTTTTTTTGGTGGTCAATGTTGTGAACTGTTCCATTTAAATTAAGCTATGTTTTCGTTTATAGTTGCTTATCAATAATTGTGTTAATGTTTTTAGGTCGGGTTGATAAACAGCGTAAGCTGACACTCCAGCTTTTCGTCACTATTTTGTTTTCTTCCTATAAGCCAACTGTTTTGTAATGCTGTGACAAATTAAATTATTATTATTATAACTCGGTCATTCAAAGAAACCGGCGCGGGTATCATGTAAAAAACCTATAAAATGTCAAAAAAACCTATAAGATGTCAACTTGCAGACTAGGTACTTTTTAGGACGCAAACAGTCATTCCACGTTTGCTCACTAGGCTGTGAGGCTGTGATCCGTGTCTGTAGATTTTATCTCTGAGAAGAAAGTTGATTGAATAGCAAGATCGCATCTGGATGATTATGTGTATTGGTCTGCATAAAATCAGTGATATTTGCTGTGTGAGAAAACACTTACTGAATATGATGGGTTATTTATATGTTGTGCTTTCTGAAGAGAGGTTATGTTCAAAGTTACAAATTACGAAAAACTGAGGAGAATTACGGGAAATCATCACCGCGCCCGCGATGTGTGTAACTACTGTTAGCATGTATATGGCTTGTAATTCGACAGTGTACAGAGAATATAATTACTCCTTGTCTCTCTCATTTTTGAAATTCAGTCAATTTGTATATGTAATTTCAAGAATGGATAAGGAAAAGTGGATGCGCAACTAATTTCTAGCTTTGAACCTCAATTAAGTGTATTTGAGACAAGAACCCAATGTAATTATCATCAACACATACAACTTACAGCTTAGACCTCCAGTAATGCCATCTCTGAAGCAGATTTTACATCACATCAGAACCAAAGATTGATAACAAGCCTCATGACGTTTAGGCAACTCGTACAACTAAGGCCCGTATCGTCAGTCGTTCCTACAATTGTAGGGCGCCTTTATGG